GATGGGGAGAGAGGGTGGGGGAGAGGGAGTGGGAGAGGGGATAGGAAAGAGGGGACTGGGGAGAGAGGGAGTCGGGGAGAGGGAGTGGAAGAGAGGGGATTGGGGAGAGGGGATAGGAAAGAGAGGATGGGGGAGAGAGGGAGTGGGAGCTGCCCTTGGAACCACCCTGACTGACTGTTTCTGGATTTTTGAGACAGGGCCTCTCTATATAGTTTAGGATTGTCATAAATTCAAGGCCAGCCTGGGCTACAGAATAATATCTTATCTCAAACCAAACCCCAAAATACAATAGGGGCTGGAGAGATGGCTCACCAGTGGTTAAGAGCACTGGCTATTCTTGGAGAGGACCTGGGTTCAGTTTGCACATGGTGGTTCCATACTACAGTTCCAGGGACCTGACACCCTCTTCTGAACTCCATAGGCATTGTAAGCATATGATGTACTTACTTACATACATGCAGGCAAAAACTTAGAGTAAAAATAAAGATTCATATATGAAATTACCAAAAAAATACATAAAACCCAAAAACTTCTAACAAACAAAAACCTCAAATCAACCAAAAAGATGACACTTTGAAATCATTTAGTGTTTGAAAGCGTGACATTTTAAATAAATCTCAGTGAGGTGTGTGGTTTACACCCAGGAAAACTGACGCAGGCTTTGGCAGCAGCTGTGATCACAGTAAAGTTTTTTGTGGCCACAGGAAGTTTGTTTGCGTCCTGCCCCTGGCAGCCACTGACCTGTTGAAAGCCTCTGCTTGCTGGTTGCTGATATCTCTGCAGTAGAATGCTGCTTTTGTGGGCCCATTTCCTTAGTTTTTTTTTTTTCTGTCAGCTGGCTGTGCTTAGTGTTGTACGTGTGTCTGTAGGATGTATTGGGAGAGGGGACCCTGTGCTCACGTGCCAGGAACTGAGTGATTCTTCGCAGGTCCCATAGTCTGAATTCCTCAAAATCTCTAATCCAGGGATGGGTTAGAAGAATCCCGAGGCTTTGGCTGGAGAGCACAAGCCAGCCCTGGCTGCCTGGCTCTTCCTGCCGCTCCTGTTCTCTGACCACCTTTGTTCCAAAGCAGACGACCCCTGGCAGTCATCTGAGGAGTTCTTATTCTAAGGCTTTGCCTTGACTTTGTTGGTGAAGTTTTCCTTTCCAGTTAGTTTCTGTGGACTAGCTATGACCATTTTAGCCAGAGGAGGTACAGTTTGAGAGCCGGATGGCTGGTTTTATACTAGTGCTGGTCTCTACTTGGACAGCCCTGGTTCTGCCTCAGTCTTTGCTTATCACAGTCCTGTGACTCGCAGCGAATTGATCTCTAGGATCTCTTACTGATGTGTTGGATATATCGCCGTTTGCTTTCCTTAACTTGCATTTCCTCTTCCAGGTGGAAGACGTTAGAAACTCATGATGTTGTAATAGAGTGTGCCAAAATCTCTCTGGACCCTACAGAAGCCTCATATGAAGACGGCTATTCTGTGTCTCACCAGCTCTCCACCTGCTTCCCCCACCGCTCAACTGATGTCACCGCCAGCCCTTATGTTGACACACAGAATAGCTATGGTAAAAAGTGACTTTGGTACTTGCCTATTTTGCAACTTTGTCTCTGTTTGTTGTTGACTTTGAACCTCTTTTTGTAGAGTGAGACTCCTTTTATTTCCTGGGAACTCCCTGAAGTACTTGAATTTGAACTTGTCTCTTGAATTGGTTTTTCCTTCAAGCTTAGTTGTCCTACATCTCTGTAAGAATACACCCACTGTGTAGTGAGACCACAGATAGGTCCCCAGCACCTACGACAGTAAAGGCTCAAGTACCAGACAGCTGGGCCCTGAGTCAGAGGGAATCTCAGCTTTCTCAGCCTCCGGTGAGGCCCCCTGGGCTGGAGCTCTGATGCAGTTTGAATGACTCTGGAGTCACAGCAGGTCGTGGCGTTAGCTGGAGTGGAGGCTGCACCACTCAGGCTGTCGGGCATGGTGTGCCTGCCTTTTAAATTATGCTGAGGCTGAGCTAGATGTCAGACTTGCCTGGACTTTAGCTTCCAAGGAGCAGTTAACGAATCTTTTAATTGTTACTTTGCTCCTGATGATGTCCGTCCACCTCAGATTTTTTAAAAAAAAAAATTTTTTTTTAAATAGTTTTACGTGTGCGTGTTATACCTCCATGTAGGTAAGTATACCGTATAATACAATGCCTGCGGAGGACAGAAGAGGCTATCGGATCCCCTGGAACTGGAGTTATGGACAGTTGTCAGCTGCCATGTGGGTGCTGGGAATCAAACCCGGGTCTTCTGCAAGAACAGTCAGTGTTCTTAACCGCTGAGCCACCTCTCCAGCCCCTTAAATTTTTTTCTTTATTATTATTTATGTGTATGTGTGTATTGCCTGCATATTGGTAAGTGCACCCATGTCATGCAGTGCCAGTGGAGGTCAGAAGGGGCTGTCGAATCTCCTGGGACTGGAGTTACGGACAGTTGTTAGCTGACATGTGGGTGCTGGGATTCGAACCTGGGTCTTCTGCAAGAACAACCAGTGTTCTTCACTGCTGAGCCATCTCTCCAGCCCCCTACCTCAGATTTTTAAAGTAGAGGATTAAGTATTACCAGATGGTCTAGAGGACTGGCGACTGGCATTTTCATGAGCATAACCCCAGACCCACCCCGTTGTCTTCCTCTCATTTCAGGGAGTGTCACTTCCACCCCTTACTCCACCTCTCGGCTCATGTTGTTCAGCTCGCCCGGGCAGCTACCTCCGAATCTGAGTTCCCCGTCCACACGGCTGTTACCTGAGCCGCTGCAAGTACGGTGCCACGCAGTGTGTCTGTTGCTGCTCTGCCTCCCGGTGAAGCTGACTGTGGGTCAGGATTTAGTGTGTAGTGGGGAGATTTCACATTGTGCGTTTCAGGAGGGCCCTTCAAGGACTCTGGAAAGAAGCATGGAGAGCTGCTGCTGCCTCTGGGACATGGAGTCCACACATTTAAACCACAGCTGTGTTTTGATAAAGCTTTCACAAGATGCCTCCTTCAGTTGAAGAGGCTAAATTTAAACTGGATGTTGGCCAGACACCTTGTGGAGGGCGCAGTGTTTATTTGCCAACACTGACGTACTTTCTTAACTTCTAGGCTACTCTCTGGAGCCCATCCATGGTCTGTGGTATGGCCACTCCTCCAACGTCTCCTGGAAATGCCCCACCTGACTTGTCACACCCATACAGTAAAGTCTTTGGTACCGCTGGTATGTGGGTCTTAGTTGGACTTGGACTTGATTGGCTGGTGTGGGCCTGTGTTTTGTGACAGAAGGAGATCTCATAGTGACTTTGGGGACCATTTGGCAATAATAAACTTAACTTAGAAACTTAACGTAAGTTTCTGGGTTTTCAGAGTGAGTAAAGAGATGGGCATACAGGAAGCTGCTGTGCGCTCCCAGAGTTGACCATCAGCTTCGTCTGTAGCAGTAGCAATGCTGAGGAGAACCTGGCAGTCTTTCTGCACTGGGGCTCAGCAGTCGTTGATATTTTGTCTTTGTCTCTGAGCAGGTGGAAAAGGAACTCCTTTGGGAACCCCAGCAACCTCTCCTCCCCCGGCCCCACTCTGCCATCCAGATGACTGTGTGCACAGTCCAGCTCCCCAGGCCACAGCCACATCCCTCAGGAAGGTGCGTGCCAACCTCGTGACCCCACTGACTATCTCACTTTGTATTGCCTAATTATGCTAGATTTAGTCCTGCCCCCAAATGTGATGGGATTGAATCAGAATAATCAGAAGTAGACATCACCTCTCAAGGTGTAGCCTGCTGACCCCGGGATCCCGAAGCCTTTAAGGTTCAGCAGGGCCAAACTGACTTCCCACAGCATTGGATTCACATTCACAGTACAGAGACTGGGGGGGCGGGGGTAGGGTGTCAGCCCCAAAGCACAGGTCAGGGTAGGCCCAAACACTCGGGAGGTAATCTCCTTAATGTCTTCTTTTAGTTTATAAACAAAGTGGGGGCATGGCTCTAACCTGGGCAAGAGAAATTATTATTGTTGTTGTTATTATTTTGTGTGTGTGGTCTTTTTGAGACAGAGTTTCTGTGTAGCCACAGCTGGCCTGGGACTCACTTTATCCCACAAAGATCACCTGCCTCTGCCTTCTGAGTGCTGGGATTGAAGACATGTGCCATCATACCCAGCTTGAAATGATTGACTTTTAATTAAAGCTGGGCCCTTGAGGTTATGTATACACCTGTAGGAAATACAGCCAGGTATGGGTTGTGCATCGAATCCCAGCACTCCAAATGCTGAGGCAGGAGGATTGGTAAGTTTGAGGCCAGCCTGAGTTACATAGCAAGACCCTGTCTTAAAACAGCAAAGAAATGAACAAAATAAGAAGTGTGCTCAAAACGTGTTCCCTGCGCACCAAAGGGTGAGGGTCGTCTCCTGCGCCTTTAGATCCTCGAGTTGGAACTGAACTAGCTGCTTCTGTCTATAGAACACATTTTATATTCAGACCTGAATATTTAGCAGGAAATGTTTTTGGTTTTTAATTTTTTTAGTTACACACAATAATTGGTTTGATTATGACATTTCATACTTAGATGGCATCGTGCTCTGCTTATATTTTCCTCTCCCCACCCATAGCAGGCCATTTCTTTTTTAAAAATTTTTATCTATTTAATTTTATGTGCATGAGTGGTTTATGTGCGTGTATGTAAGTCTACCCAAACGTACAATGCCCATCGAGGCCAGAAGAGCGTGTCGGATCTCCTGGAACTTCAGCTACTGACAGTCTTTAGCTGGGACCCAAACCTGGGTCCTCTAGAAGTACAGAGCAGCTGGCATCCTTAACTCCAGAGGCACGCCCCCCCCCCCTTTTTTTTTTCCTTTTTCCAGATAGGGTCTTGTGAGGCCCTGGCTGGCCTGGAACTCAGCAGAGATCTACCTGCCTCTGTTGGGATTAAAGGCATGTGCCCCCACACCCCACAGCAAGCAGTTTCTTAAATGATGAACCAAGTCTGTCACTTCAAGGTAAACAGCTGACAGTACTTACAGTGCATAAATAAAATTTAGCTCTCACGTAAAACAGGGCGTTAAAAGGCTGGTGCCTGCCACTGTTAGCTTGGTGGCTTCCTCAAGACTATGCCAAGATTGAAAAGTCTTGGGAAGTGTAATAATCTTGATTTTGTTATTGTATAATGAAGCGTTTGAAAATTTAGAAAAACTGTTGAACCAGTATTTTCTAAGTGTCCGGTATATGAGTTATCCAATCACGCCTGGTTCAAAATACAAGGTAAATGGTTGATTTCAGTGCCATATAGTGAGCTGGAGAGGTGTCATGGGTTAGCATGTGGTTGTGTAAGCATGAGGACCTGAGGCCGATTTCAGCACACATGTAAAAAGCCAGGCATTGCGAGCACAGCTGTAAACCCAACCCTGTTGGAAGGAGGAGACAGACGGGTCAATGGGGCTCGCTGGCTACCAGCCTAGTCCAGGTTCAGTGAGAGACCCTGCCTCAAAGGAGTAGGGTGCAGAGTAACAGCAGGACACCTGACATCCTCTTCTGGCCTTGGTGGGCGCCTGGGCGCGCACGCTCACACATGCACAGGATAAATACACAGCATAAAAAGTTTGTGTGTGGTTTTAGGTTTTGCTTTATAACTACTGTTGAGAAGCGATCAGATGCAGTGTGCACTTTGCTGTCATGTATCTTCGAGGCCCTGTGTAGGGGCATTTTCTTTATATGCTTCATCCAAAATAACATACAGTATCGCCTCACATGTAGAATGTAGGAGAAGTCAACCAGCTTTCATTAAACCTGTTATTGAAGAGGTTACAAAACTGTGACCGTTCTGTTCTCAGTAAATGTACTATTTTAGAAAATGTAAATTAGAAATGTAGAAATGTAGTTGCTTTTTCATAAAAATACCTAATATATATTAGCATGACATAGATTTATTATGTTTAAGTTAATGTTTAATTTCTGATTAAATTTTTGGTAGGTTTAACCACATAAATAGAAGCCCTTGAAATTCTTTGTATTTTTTTTTTATTTTATACAATTCTTTGTGTGTATATATAAATATATTTTTTAAAATATTATTTGTACTTTTTATGTGTTTGAGTGTTCTGCCTGAATATATGCAAGTGTACCTGTGTTGTACAATGCCCATGGAGGTCAGAAGACGGTGTCAGATTCCCCTGGAACTGGAGTATGGTTGGTTGGTTTTTGGCTGCCATGTGGGTGCTGGGAATTGAACTGGAGTCCTTTGCAAGAGCAGCCAGTGCTCTTAAACGATGAGCCGTCTTTCCAGCCGCTCTGTATATTTTTAATGAATTTTTGTGGATTTCATACACTACATCTTACTCATATTTAGACCCCTCCTCTATCTGCGAGATTCTGTGTATTTTTAAGACTATAAAGGGCTGAGCATGGTGGTGCACATCTTTAACCTCAGCACTCTGGTGGCAGAGACAGGCAGATCTCTGAGAGTGATGCCAGCTTGGTCTCCGTAGTGAGTTCCAGGCCAGCTGGGGCTCCAGGTAGACCCTGTCTCAAACACAGATCATAAAGGAGCCAGAAGTCGAGCAGTTTCCCTGGACTAACTTTTAGACTCCTCACTGTGTGCTACAGAACACACAGAGGTGCCCAGCATTTTCTATTGTGTGATACGGATGGTGCTTACCTTTCCAGGAAGAAAGAACAGAGCACACAAGGCCATGCCTGCACAGACAGCCCCATCTTCCGAACGACAGAGGGTTAGGTAAGCTCCACAGGTCCTGATGGACCCTGCTTGTCCATTGGAATGGAACTGTGCAGGCTGTGCAGCAGGGTCAGGATGTTCTGGAGTGCCGTGGAACACTGATGCCTAGATAAGAAGGAAGTGGTACACGCCAAGCACCAGCATCGCAGTAACATCCAAGAAGTGTTCAAGCTGCTGCCCTGAACTACCTGTTTCGAGCAGGTCTAACTGGGGTTTTATCTGTTCTTAGACACAAAAGCCTGAGCGTTTTCTTCTTTGTGGGATTGTTTTGATGCATAAGCTCTTAGCCTTTTATCATGGCCCCAGGAGAGTGGCCTCCTCTGCTCCTCGGGAGGGACATGTAGGCAGTGCTATGCTATGTACAGCCTTGCTGGCAGCCTTGCAATTTCAGGAGTTAGATTATTGCTTTGACTGAGTTGTCTCTGTTTCTCTCCAGAGGAGCCATCTGGAAGCAGAGGTTCCGTTCCTCTCCGTAATCTCCCAGATTTCCTAGGTGACCTGGCCTCTGAGGAAGACAGTATCGAGAGAGATAAAGAGGAAGGTAACGTGTGTGCGCTGCTGTGAGTCGTGACGTGGTCCCTTGCTCTGTTCGGAACTGGGAGCTCCAGTCCACTCACAGGCTTGCTTTTTTTCTTTGTTGGGTTGAAAGGTGGGTATTTGTTTATAGGTTGTATGCTGGGGAAAGGTGGCCCCCTCTTTCGTAGTCCCTGGTGTGTGGCCCTGGTTCTTGGCAGAGCACAAACCCAAGCTCTTTTGCCTGGTTGGATGCTTACTGGTGCTTTCCGTGTTCCCCACCCCCCTTTCAGCTGCAATATCCAAAGAGCTTTCTGAGATCACCACTGCAGAGGCGGATCCTGTAGTTCCTCGAGGGGGCTTTGACTCTCCCTTCTACCGAGACAGTCTCCTATGTTCTCAGCGGAAGACTCACTCGGCAGCCTGTGGGACTCAGGGCTCCAGTATGAACCCTGAGTCTCTGCACTCCTCCCTGGACAAGCGTGGGCCTGACACACCAAAGCAAGCCTTTACTCCCATAGACCCGCCCTCCATCAGTGCTGATGCCAGTCCCGCTGGGGACAGGTACCGCCAGGCTTCTCTGGAGACCAGTATCCTCACTCCCAGCCCTTGCAAAATTCCACCTCAGAGAGGAGTGAGCTTCGGAAGTGGGCAGCCTCCCCCATATGATCATCTCTTCGAGGTGGCCTTGCCAAAGACTGCCTGTCACTTTGTCAGCAAGAAGACCCAGGAGCTGTTGAAGAAAGCAGAAGGAAACGCTGAGGAGGGCTATGTGCCCTCTACCTCCCCGGTGGCAGTGCTGGACAGACTGATAGAGCAGGGAGCGGATGCACACAGCAAGGAGCTGAGCAAGTAAGCCCGGGACTCTGCACTTCATCTGCCCAGGTTATTAAACGCACAGGACCATCTCAGGCAGGACAGGACTCGTCCCTCCTGCCCAGCAGAGGCAGCTGGTTCTCTTTGTGTGTTGTCAGACAGTCATCACACAAAGTCCTTCCAGTCTGTGGCCTTTCCATGTTGAGAGTGTGGGCGTATGTACCTGAATGATCTGTGAGATGGCGTCCGTTTTGAAATAAGTCTTCAGTGCAGGTCATTTTGTGGCACTGTTCTGTGAGGACACCCCACTGGGTGTGTGTGCGTTTGTTCTCTGGAAACTGGGCATTAAAAGTGAGGTTATAACCTCAAAGAATAACACAGTATTGTTTTCAGAACTTCCCTCTAATTACAGGCTTTTGTTTTGTCTTTGATTATCTTGGTAGCATAGTTCATTAGGTGGAGGACACTGTTACCAGCACTTTTCCACAGGTTCCGGTGTCTAGATGCCCCCACAAGGCACCTAGGTTTCCTTGAGAGCCGAGGCAATTCCCAGCCCTCCTTCTATTACCCTGGTCACAGGACTCAGGGATGAAACCAGGGAATCACCCTGGCCAGGGGTTGGTTTGGATTTCCTGCCACTGGTTCTTGAGTTTAATCATATGTGGGGGGGAGTGTCCTTACTGTGTAGCCCAGGCTAATCTGAAATTTGTGATCTCCCTGTGGTAGCCTTTCAAGTGTTGGGATTATGAGAATAGGCTACCACACCTGGCTAGTGTTTCTCTTCTACATAATATATCAAGCTGGAATTTGAAGAGAATTGTAATATTTAAAACTTTTAAAATGAAATTTGGGGGCTGGAGAGATGGGTCAGTGGTTAAGAACACTGTTCTTGCAGAAGACCTGGGTTCGAATCCTAGCACCCACATGGCAGCCAACGACAGCCCGTAACTCCAGTTCCAGGGGATCCGACAGCCTCTTCTGCCCTCCACGGGCATTGCACGACACAGGTGCACTTACCTACATGCAAGCATAACACTCGTACACATCAAATAAAAATAGTAAATAAAATATTTTTTAAAAATAAATAAAATAAAATGAAATTTGGTGTGATAGCTCAGATAAATGACCTGCCTTGATCTTGTAGGATGACAGTAGCCTCCAGGGAGAGTGACTCCCTGTGTTGATAGGGAGGGAGGAGTTGGAACAGAGCTCATGTCTTCCCACTCAGGGTCCTTGGAGAGCAGATCCTGTGGCATAGGCCACTGAACATGGGAGAAGTGTTGGGGTTTCTCTTCCCTGGAAACTTGGTTATAGGAGACAGGATGCCTGCCTGTTCATGCACCAAGGCCCCTCCAGCTGCACGTGGACTGGAGTTTCAGATGTTCTCAAGCTGCTGCAGACTCTAACCTTGCTGCAGCTAAACTCCAGATTTGTAGGTAGAATGCTGGCCTAGCATCCATGAAACCTTTGAGTCCCAGCACTGCATAGAATGAGCCGTGGTGGTCCATGCCTGCAAACTCAGCACTTGGGAGACGGAGGCAGGAGAACCGGAAGTTCAGGGTCATTGTTGGCTACTTAGCAAGTTCAAAGCCAGCCTAAGCTACATGAGACCCTGTCTCAAAAACCAATAAAAAGAAGAAAAAAGTTCTGATTCTTGCTTTAAGGACAGGTTGGTAACTTCATCTTTCCAAAAATTTCTTCCTAGGTTGTCCTTGCCCAGCAAGTCTGTTGACTGGACCCATTTTGGAGGTAAAATTGTTACTTGAGCTCCACTCGTCCCTTCTCTGTCCTTGAAGGAGGTGTCCTTAAGGAAGCCTCTCCCTGTGGCTTGCACCCCAGCCAGCCAGCCTGTCTGCTTGGCAGGAGGATCCCAAGTGTTGCAAAGTCAGCGGTTCCTGTTTTTGAAAAGTGGCAAGCCCTTGGGCTCAAAATGAAATGGGAATGCCAGGCTTCCCTAGAGAGGGGCCCAAGTGGTGGGATGTGCTGGGAAGTCCCCTCAGGGCCAGCTCATGTAGCCCAGGCTAGCTTTGAACCAGCTCAGTGGTGGAGGAGCAGTGGCGGAAAGGGTGTCAGAAGGACTCTGGCCAACTGTCCTGCCTCTCCAAGGAGCTGTCTTCTAGTACCGCTGTGGATGACTTTAAAGGGAGATGAATGGAACATAGTTGTAGCTCTGCTCCTAACAGTGGCTAGTGCTGGGAACTAGGTGGTCACTTGTAGAGTGATTTGGTTTTGTGAGAGAGGAGAGAGAGAGAGAGAGAGAGAGAGAGAGAGAGAGAGAGAGCACCTGTGTGTGGAGACCAGAGGACAGCCTCAGGTGCCATCCACCTTATTTTTTTGAAGACAGGGTCTCTCGCTGACCTGGAGCTTGCTAGTTGAGTGAGGCCCTGAGCTGCTTCCCCAGTGCTACGGATCACAGGCATGCCCCATCGTGCCTAGCTTTTCCGTGGGCTCTGGATAGCGAACTCGGGTCCTGCTTGCACAGCAAGCAGTTATGGACTGAGGTATCACCCCAGGCCCCAAGAATTGTTTCTTCAGCTAAGGCCTATGGAAGGGCCTTGATGCAACTGTGTGTAAAAGGCCTTTCTGCCACCTTCCCTCTGCTTTACAATCAGGCTCTCCCCCCTCAGATGAGATCCGCACCCTCCGAGACCAGCTGCTTTTACTGCACAACCAGTTACTCTACGAACGTTTCAAGAGACAGCAGCATGCTCTCCGGAACAGGCGGCTCCTGCGCAAGGTGATCCGAGCGGCGGCTCTGGAGGAACACAATGCCGCGATGGTGAGCAGACAGGCAGACTGTGGGCTTCACTCTTCTGCTCTGTGTCTGTCTGATAGCTTGTGAAAAGCAGTGCCAGGGTAAGGGCAGTGCTGTTCACTCTTGCCCTGCTCTGAGTGGCTGAGGGCAGGCTCTTTAGTTCATGAGGTCCCCTTGTGAAAGTCTGGGCCTAGGAACTCCTTTGAAGGGCTCAGAAATCGTGACAAATAAATGCCTGTCTGTGTCTGCTTGGCATGTGCTGTGATGTAAAAGGCCACAGGAGCTTGTCTGTGTCTTTTCCCTGATGTGCTTTCAGCTCGCAAAGCTATTCCATGGCACAGACTTGAAGGGATGCGATGTCATGGGATAAAGCCAGATATCCTAGAGCTTGAATGTTGGCATCACCAGTTTTTACCTTAAGCCTTTTGAAGCCTCCTTTTTTTTTTTGGTCTTTTTGAAACAGGGTCTCCCTGTAGCCCCAGCTGGCCCAGGACTCCCTATGTAGACCAGGCTGGCCTCAAACTCACAGAGATCCACCATGCCTGGCACAAAGCCTCTGTATCCATTCTTATAAAATAGAAATAATCATGACCTGGTCTATATAGTGAGTTCCAGGCCAGCTGGGGCTGCAAGGAGACCCTGTCTCAGAAAGACAAATACATACATACATAATAGCAGCCCCACCTTTCCAGTTGTGATGGTTAAATCAGGCCAATAAGCATTTGCTTTGTGTCTAGTGCACTGTAATTCTGCATGTGTTTAGCGTTCTAGTGACCTAAAGTGCCAGATATTCAAGGCTGTGTCATAGCTTGGGTGTTTGAAAGTACGGTAAGCCCTGAGAATGCTTCTTTAAGCTCCGTACAGTCCATTCACTAATGTGGTTTGGAAAACCCCAGGGTATACCAAGTGAGACAGTAGAAAGGCGCCAGACTCCCGAGTGTGGTGACATGACTGTCCTGTAATGTCTGTGGTGTGTGTTAAACGTGTGTGTCATCGCACATATTAGATGACAGCTGAAGTGACGGCCTCTCTGTTGTTGCTAGAAAGATCAGTTGAAGTTACAAGAGAAAGACATCCAAAGCTGGAAGATGAGTCTGCAGAAGGAACAGGTCCGGTGCAGCCAGCTTCAGGAGCAGCACGACACCATGGTGACCCAGCTGCACAGCCAGATCAGACAGCTGCAGCACGACCGAGAAGAATTCTACAACCAGAGCCAGGAGTTGCAGGTATCATCGGCTACACCAAGCAGTCCACAGAGAAGGCGTGGAGCGGGGTGGGGGGGAGGAGGGGGGAATATGCGAGGTGGGGGTGGTCACAAGTCTGCCACCCTCCTCAGCTTACCCGAGATGAATACTTCGCCTCTGAAATGACAGGTATATTCCATGTCAGATAAATCTTACTGAGGGCAGATGAAGGTCCCACCTTCCTTGGTTCATTGGTCTCCCAGTGTCTTGGCACTGTGGAGCCATAGAGATAGTTTGGTAGTCTCTCTAAGTCGGTCTGAGCACAGTGAGTGTTGGTGTCGTAGTGACAAAACGGCTGTTTGAAAATAATGCACTACATTTAAAGTATTTTACATTTGACTTACTTTAAGTGGGTGTTTTGCCTGTATGTATATAAGTGCACCCATGCATGCAGTGCCTGTGGAGGCCATGGCCTGAAGAGGGCTTTGGATCCCCTGGAACTAGAGTTAGGGACAATTGTTACCTGACATGTGAGTGCTGGGAACTGGACCCAGGTCCTCTGCAAGAGCAGCCAGTGCTCTTAAACCACGGGGCCATCCCTCCAGCCCCTAAACCTCACTTTTAAATAACTGTAATTTCTAAGCTGGGTATGGTGGTGCATACCTTTAATCCCGGTACTCAGGAGGCAGAGGCAGGCAGATCTCTGTGACTTCAAGGCCAGCCTGGTCTATGGTGTACATGGCAAGTTCCAGGCCAGCTGGGGCTACAGGGAGACCCTATGTCAAAAAGACCTAAATAAATATTAAATGACCATAATTTCTAACACACTGTGATCCTGTCCGCACATGGTATCTTGACTTTGAAATTGGTAAACAGTGGCACCTCCTTTCCTGTTCTTCGCTGGTTTATCATTGCGAAAGCCACTAAAAGCCCAGCTGTGCCAAGCTGTGTGTCCTGCACAAGCACAGCACCATCTGCATTGAACTAGGCAACCTCCCTTGTTGGTCGTTCCCATGATGCTTCCCTACAGGTGAACAATCTGGACAGCATTGCTGTGCAGTTGCTGCTTGGCTCCAGGGCTTTGGCATATAGTTTGGGATCTGCAGGTCTACGTTCTCTCTGTCTCTCTGTCTCTCTGTCTCTCTCTGTCTCTCTCTGTCTCTCTCTCTCTCTCTCTCTCTCTCACCTATTGTTAAACAGTAAGACACTCAGAAATCAACCCTAACTTCCATAGCTTCCTTCTCTTAAATGAAAAGGCCCAGTACTGACGGCCCAAGAGCAGTAGGAGCAATGGCATCCCCAGCTCTGCTCGCGTAGCCAGCCAGGTGGGCTTGCGGCCTGGCTTCCAGTGCTCTGGTAACCTCCCACGTCTCTCTGGTAGACAAAGCTGGAGGACTGCAGGAACATGATCGCAGAACTGCGAGTGGAGCTGAAGAAGGCCAACCACAAAGTGTGCCACACCGAGCTGCTACTCAGCCAGGTGTCTCAGAAGGTGAGAGGAGACCCTACCTGTGGACACCTCAGACCTGACAGATGTCTGTCTGAGGCCCAGCAGAGAGCTGTTCTACCTAGGAAACACTTGGCAATGTCTGGAGACATTGGTGCTCCTGGCAGTGAGTGATTAGGTAGGAGCCACAGGTACTGCCGAATACCCAGTGCCCAGGAGGTCCTCGCTGCAGAAGTGCCCCCTGAACCTGGGCCAGGCGTGTCTCTTGAGCTCTTTCTTAATACCTTGCTGACAGAGGTGTAAAAGGTTGTTAAGGGTCTTTGGTCTGTGATTCCAGCTTTTGGGATCTAGTGAAGTCTGTCATTTACTTAAGAACGGGTGACTTTCCCTGGGGCTTTGTCCCATGGCCTGCCCGTCAGTTCCAGTGTTCCGGGGTGGTTGGCACCAATAAATTGTGTTTGCGTTTCTTCTGTGCAGAGCACAATGGGAAGGGCATTTCTGTCCGCGTCTGTTGTCTTTTGGGTACTTCTCCCGTTGGCCATGATCCCAGGAGTTGGAAACAAGGAACGAGTTACTCTGTCCTTCACTGAGCTCTGCTGCCCCTGGCTGCTCCTCAGTTAATGTTCCCCGGCTGGTTCTGTGGTACTCCGCTCTCACTTTTCTCATGTGTGTTTTGGTTAGCTTTCAAACAGTGAGTCAGTCCAGCAGCAGATGGAGTTCTTGAACAGGCAGCTCTTGGTGCTTGGGGAGGTCAACGAACTGTATCTGGAGCAGCTGCAGAACAAGCATTCAGATACCACCAAGGTATGCAGCGGGGTGGGAGGGGGCACCTGAGGTGGGACCTCTGCGTTCCCTGGCAGTGTCAGGTGGCGTAACGGTTCATGCTTGCTAGAAGGTGGAGGGGCAGGGTCCACTTCCTCCCAGGCCCAGCCCCAGCCCTGTCCAGCCATCATGGAGTGCTTGTATGCACACCTGTAGGATGCCTTGGGTGTGGGGTCCTGTTGAGGTGTGTATTGGTTACTTTCCTTGTTGCTGTGACAAAAGCAGCTGAAGGAAGGAAGGGTTATTCTGGCTCATGCACGAGGTCTATCTTGGCGGGGTTGGCAACGTGGCAGGAGCATGAGGCGGCTGGTCACGTCACATCCCAAGTTGGGAAGCAGCAAAGTGAGAGCTGCCGCTTGGCTTGCTTCCTCCTTTTCTTCAGTCCGAGACCCCAGCCCATGGGATGGTACCGCTCACATTTAGAGTTGGTTTCCACCTCTGTTCACCTGGGTAATTGCTCACACACAGGCCCAGAGGTTTGTTACCATGGTGATCTAAACCCCATCAAGTTGACAGTTGCTGTGGCTTCCTTGTCCTCTGGCCCCTTCAGAGAGGAGGGTGGCAGCCGGCCCTGTCCAGCATGCCTTCAGGACTGAGGTGGCCTCCTGTGCTCTCCACTCGGCCGTCTCTCCTTCTTTTCATGCTGGGTCTAGTTCTTGTCCATGGTGGCTCAGTCCTGGAAAGGCCTGTCCAAGGTGTTGGCACAGCAAGGAGTGTTTTGCCAGTGCTGTTGAGGCAGAAATTTCATGTCCCCCAGGTCACGTTGGGGAGGCAGTGGAACTATGCAACAGAACGATGCTCAGTGCTCCATCACGCTCAGGCCTGTAGCAGTCCATGGGCTGGGGCTTTATAAAGTATGTTTTGCTTGTTCATTCATTTGCTTTGGCTGAATGGAGAAAGTTGTCTTAGAATGGGGACTGTACATGTTCATGGTAGAGAGCCTTCTGGTGGCTCAGCCTCTAGTTCAGTCTCCCTCTGAAGATGGTGGATGCAGACCTGTCTCTAGAACTCAGCTGACCACTCTGGACATGGTTTTGAGAGGAGAGGTGGGAGCAGACCCGAGACGCCCAAAAGAGCTTGCTGAAGCGTGTTTCTGGTGCCTCCAACGAAGAGTGTAGCTGGGCCAGCTTCGGGGGTGGGGAGCTTCAGTTTGGCATCCTTGAACACTGAGACTAACGAAAGTCGTGACCCCTTTTGGGGGCATTTCTCAGTTCCCAGTCAGGAAGGATACTGCCTTGTCTTAGGCTGGATGCTGTCCATTGTAAATCAGAACAAGCCAACCAACCTGGCTTCGTGAGTCTAGCCTAGCTTACTGAATTTTATTGCTACACTTGACAAGTCCTGAGGCAGGTGAATTCAGGTTGATAAGTCGGCAGTCCAGGCAACATCGTGAGGAAGCCAGGCTCTTGGCACTCTTCTGTCCTACTGTCTACCCTGTCAGCTTTGTCGTCCATGTAGCCCACTTGTGTGCTAGGTTACCCCCGGTACAGGAAGAGGAGAGTGTTTCCTTTTATCTGTGTCTCAGTGCGATCTTTCCCAGAAGCCCACTGGTGCTTCCTGTTTTGTTTTCCAGGGTTGAGTGGTGCTTGGTACTTAACCTGTGTGGGCCTTGAGCAAGCCAGGACATGCCTCTGGTGGGGAGCTGGGGTTGCTCTTCTTTCGGCCAGTGGAGGAGGAGGCAAGGCAGGCGTCTGACAGTCAGACTGGAGAGTTACTGTTACCCATGGACCTTCCCGTTCGGATACTTTGTGTGATTGCCCATAAACAAACACAGGTGTCCCTTAGTTTCTGTGCAGGATTGGGTCCAAGGCCCTTGCAGATACCCAGTTCTGCAGATGGTTAGTTCCTCGTGTAATGGCATGACGTTTGCCCAGAGTCTTATGTACTCATTTCTAGGTCACATGTAAATGCCTGGTACGAGGTAAACACTGTGTAGATGGTGGTTAAACTGCATTGTTCAGAGATAGCAACAAGAAGCCCATGTGTTCATGCTCGGTGCCCACAGTCAAGGTGAACAGCTTCCGTTTGTGTCTGGTGGGTCTGAGGAAGTGTGGGCTGACCGCTGCCACAAGTACAGAAGCTGCTGCGTTTGTTCTCCTGGCCCGTGCTGAAGCCTGGTGCTGCTCAGCACCACTGGAGTGACTGAGTTTCCTACCAGTTCTGCCTTCTGCATCGTATGGTTTAGTGACTGGCACAGATGGTAGGTCCCCATGACTTGCAGTTCATGTCCTTTTTACAAAGCATATGTGGAGAGGTTTGTGCCTTTATGTAGGTTTTACCACAGTAAATGCACAGTAAGAAGTTGTTAGGACAGTGTCCTTTTTCCGTCTTTTGTGGGCATGTCAGCCTGTACTTGCTGTAGGTTTGCAGATGCCAGTGGGCTACCTGCTTGGCTTGATGGACAAACTTTGGCAGGTACCCACTTTGCAAATGCTGCCTCTCCTGACCAGGCCTGACCTTTGTATTGTTACCATGGCTGCTGGAAGAAGGAGGAGAGGGGAAACAAAGGCAGATGAGCTCCAGGCCCACTGAGCGGACACCGTGCAGTGAGAAGTGGCTTGTTAGGTGCCTGTTCCCGGGGCTGACTGTGCTGCCTATGTCTTGTCTGCCCTTGGTCTTTTCTCTAATACCACGTCCCCTCTGCAACCTGAGATGTCTAAGGCATACTTCCTCCAACACCCTGACGTTAGTCTCAGAGCATTTCTAGCTTTTGTAAATCTCTGTGGTGACCGTAAGCCATGTCTTTTCATGTTTCGAATGTTTCCTTAGAACAGAGGTCAGTACAGGGCACCTAGCTAACCCAGCCCACCTGCTTTCCAGAAAGGTCATCTCCCTCATCTCTACCCTTGGCGCACTAAGCACCTTCTCCAGACTTGGGACGTTGTTGTTGCAGGGCGGACACAGCACACAGCACCCTCATCTGTAAGTCCTAACCCCAGTCCTCTCTCTTCAGGAAGTTGAGATGATGAAAGCCGCATGTCGGAAAGAACTAGAGAAAACCAGAAGCCACCTGCTCCAGCAGGGCCAGAGGCTGGACACCTCACAGAAACGGGTTTTGGAACTGGAATCTCTTCTGGCCAAGAAAGACCACCTTCTCCTAGAACAGAAAAAATACTTGGAGGATGTCAAGAGCCAGGCGAGGTAACTTGCTTGGGAAAGGTGTGGGCAGCGAGGTGCTCTTTTAAGTGGAGGTCCCGTCTTCTGAGCCAATTGCTGTCTTTCAGCGGACAGTTGATGGCTGCAGAGAGCAGGTATGAGGCTCAGAGAAAGATCACCCAGGTGTTTGAGCTGGAGATCCTAGACTTGTACGGCAGGTTGGAGAAGGATGGCCTCCTCCGGAAACTTGAAGGGAAAGCAGAAGCAGCAGAAGCGGCGGAAGAAAGGTGAGCGCACCGTGAGCACAGCAGCCGCCTCAGCCCTGCGTCGTGGCTCGCCCCTCGGCCCGCATCCGGGGTTCGCCGTGTTGGGGCTGCGCCCTGGCCCTGTGATGCACTGCTGCAAGCAGACTGTGGGGCAGGGCTGTGGGGAGGCCGTTAGAGCTGGCAGGGCCCCATGGTCTCTTCCTTTTGCATGGCTGCTCAGTCTGCTGTTAGTGTTGCAGATGACCATCCGGCACAGCTGTTGTGGTGACCTGGTTTTCACTTGAGACTCCAGCTTGGAGCTACATGGTTCAGGGAGCCCAAAAATAAATGCCATTCCCCTGGCTGTCTTACAGGCTCGACTGCTGTAATGATGGCTGCTCAGATTCCTTGGTAGGGCACAATGAAGAGGCATCTGGACACAACGGTGAGACCAAGACCCCCAGGCCCGGCCACACCCGGGGTGGTTGTGGAGGTCGAGGTGCTGGAGGCAGCAGCAGCAGCAGCAGCGCACTTTCCACCCCAGAGAAGCCCCCGAGCCAGAGGTTCGGCAGCCGGTGGGAAACCACCATGGGTGAGCTGGCCACCAGCATCCCAACTGTGGGCTCACTTCCCAGTTCCAAAAGCTTTCTGGGCATGAAGGCCCGGGAACTGTTCCGTAACAAAAGTGAGAGCCAGTGTGACGAGGACGGCATGACCATCAGTAGCCTTTCTGAGACCCTAAAGACAGAGCTGGGTAAAGACTCGGGTGTGGAGAACAAGACTCCCTTGACTCTAGACGGTCCACATCTGTCTCCCCCAAATCCAGACAGTGTTGGACAGCTCCGCATCATGGACTACAATGAGACTCATCATGAACACAGCTAAGGAGTGTCTGGCAGTGTTAACTCGAGTCTTGGTTGGATAGAACAGGAGGTGTGAACGTGTGTTCTAGGCGCTTCCGTTCCCAGGGTCTGATCATCTGTCTGTTCATGCGGTGGAAATGGGACAGAGGTCCTGTGACAGCCGACCGAATGTTTAACAGCGGTTTTTGGATCTGGCATTGAGATGCCGCCTACCCTTCCCTTCGACCCTCCCCAGCCTCTTCATTTACCCAGCAGTGTGTACTAACTGAGGGCTGGTGTGCTCCTCACCAGCTTTATTTTCTTCCTTCCCCCCCAAAATGGTTGTGTCCTTTGAACCTGTGCAATACGAGGCCAAATTCCATCTTTGAGTCCAACACACCACTTTGCTTTCCTGAGGCCCAGATGGCTCTTGTGTAGACCAGGCAGTTGAGGGCACTGCAGGTAAGTCTGGTTTTGTCCCTTTTAGGAGGATGTGGCCTGCAGAACTGATGTCTTTACAGGAGACTTCACTGCTTTTTGGTTCTGAAATTCAGCATCTAATGCCGCAGATCTAGAACAATGGTTCATTCACCCTCACTTTTGGTGGCTCTGATAAGCTTCCTAGAAAGTTCCGTGAGAACAAATACCTGTTCTGGCAGTCTCGTTGGCACTGTGGAGGCCATTTGGGAAAAACCTCTTCTCGCTCCTTCCCCCACTACCTCTTTATTTATTTGGTGTTTGCTTGAGCGCTGGTGCTGTGCTGCCCATGGATGGGGATGTAGGTGGTGGTCCTGCTCTCTGCAGACAACAGGGAGTAGTCACTTGGAGAGGGGCCCAAGAAGTGCTTTCCATTGTGGAAGGCACCTCTGAGCTGGTCTCATCCAGCTGAGTCATCAGTTCAGCTCTTTGGTCTGCTTGTGTCCCCCTGACCCCCTGTCCACCATGAGTCTGCTTTGTGCCACTGCAGCAGACAGGCTCTGAAGGGCCAGAGGTGGGCTTACGTGACTGTGTTCTCGGGTGTAGGTTCTAGGCCACCCAAATGGTAGCAGCTTTTTTACACCAATTCTGACTTCACAGGACTCTCTGGGAGCTTCACATGCTCCTGTTAGAAATGGCAGAGCATGGCAGTTCAGGAGGGTGTTGGTGAAGGCTGTTGCTTCTGGGCTGGGTAGAGAACCCAAAGTCAGCAAATGCTCCTGAAATAAATGCTAGAAGCCTAAGAATTGTTGCCTGATGTTGTAGCCCAGACAAAGAAAAACTTGGTGAGAAAGAGCCATGAATGTGGTTTTCTTGTTCTGTTCCTTACGTGAAAAGAGCAGAGGGGTTTAGCCATGAAGAAATTAAACTGGAATGGTACGAGGTACTGTTGCATATGGAAGCTTCCAGCATAGGGTGAAAGTCTTTCTTTTCCTTAAGTGTGGCAGTCAACATTCAGGAACCCCTAAAGGAATCAGAGGCTCCATGGCAGTCCTGTGAGGACCTGTTAGGGCCAGGCTGTCTGTTGTAGCTGACTGACGAGCCATGGGAGGGCATGTCTTTGTGGCTCTTAGCCCAGCAGAGGCCAGCTGCTGCCAGGGTGTGGAGTATTGGTGGCGCTACGCTTTTAACTCAGCTTTGTCCAAAGGAAAGCTTAAAAACCAGAATGTTCTAGTTCTTGGCTGTAGTTCAAAAAAAAGGACAGTGTGAACAAATTGTGGAAGGGAAGAAAGGTGTTACAGGTTAACTGTCGAAACTGGTTGTAAGTGTCCCCCCCCCCCGCCCCAAGGCCCAAGAAATCTGCACCACAGAACAAAAGCTGTTTCCTTCACTGCGGAGGAAAGGAGGCCAACATGAGAACACTATTTACTTTGTGTGTTTGTGTGTGTGTGTGTGTGTGTGTGTGTGTGTGTGTGTGTTATTTTAAAGAATACTTTTTAAAATGCACAAGTAGTGAGCTATAGAGAGAGGAAGAGGCTGAATGGTAAAGTGGACTTGAGGTGTAGACTGGAGTCTGCTGGGCCTCGGCACCTTGCTCCAAGCCTAGGTGTCCTCTGCTCAGCTCTGCAGTCCGGGCTCCTGTGGCTTCTCAAGAGTTCTAGAGGCTATTGGTTTCCCCACTGAGGTCAGTGTGTGACCTGGAGTCACTGTGAAATTGGGTCTTTTCTGTTTCAGAGGACTCCAGGGTCAGTAGTGAGGTCGGCTTCTGTTTTGAGAGGAGCGACAGAGCTGCCGGGAGTCAGTGGGTCGGCTGATGCTGCTGCAGGCAGGAGACAAGTTTCTAGGAGGTGACAGAGGCTGAGCAAAAAGGTATTGGAGCAGCAGGTGTCCTGGGCAGAGCCTGTCTTGAAACTGATGATGCAGCCTGGTGTGTGTGAATGTTGAGGTTGAATGGCCTCCATCCTGTAGACACTCAGTGCTTGTGCTGTGATGGCCAATGAGCCCCTGGGAGACAGGAGGCCATGTCCCATGCAGCCTGGAATCTTATTAAAAGCACAGCTATGCAGCCATCTTGGGGGGGTGGGGGGGCAGGATAGTGCTCAGGAGAAGAGCTCCTGGCCTTGCTGCACCCCAAGCATGTTTCTAATAAACCTCCTGTAACCCTGTAGACTTTGGGAACAAGAGAAATGTGGCCATGAACAGGAGAAAACAGGCTCCAGAGGTGTCCCTAGGGCTGAGTGTTTGGAGCACCATCATTACTGCAGATGGCAGACACTGACCCTCTTGCTTTGCTGACAGCTTTCAGGAGAAAAGGTTGCCTGACCTTTGGGAATAAGCTGTAGAAGATTCTAATGTATGTGAGGAGAGATCACTCTTCTTAGAAGGTTAACTGTCACAACCCAGGGAAAGTACTGGAAGCCATGGACAAAAGAAAAGAGCCCTCAGGCCAGTGGCCAGCACTTCCCTGGGCAGCAACAGATGTGGGTCCTATGCTTCCGGGGAGAACGAGGAAGCTTAAGCAGTTCAGTGGTAATGGATAAAGGATCTGAGAGCTGGACCCAGAACTAGGCTAGCAGTAAGGATGGAAAGCTAGGAATGTATTGCTGTGTAACAAAATAAGCAGGTTTAAACCAGCCAGTGGGTATTTCCATCAAACACCAAAACCTACCACTTAAAGCCAGAAAGAACCGGAGAGCAAACAGAACACACTGGCTTTCCTCACTGAGCAGTGGGGGCACTGTGGACAGGCTGTGGACAGATGGAGTGCCCTTCCCAGTGTCCTGCCTCAGTAGGAGCCAGCCACCCCACACACTGTGACCCAGATGGCAGCCTGCATCAGTGCCACCTTTCCTCCAAGGTGCACGCTTTATATCTGTCTGCAGTGTATGGTGCAAGATATATCCAGTGCAAGACTGCTTGTGTCTTATGTACATCCAGAGGTCTCTCCCCTAGATGGCTGCAGTCACTGATTGCCCTGGATTTAGCTTATATCTGTCAGTGAAGCCAGGGTAGGCCATCTCTATGACTCTTGTTCCCATGCGGCTTGCTCCCTGGTCTGTGACCCACCACTGTGCCGAGGGGAGCAGTGTTTCTGTCCTGTATTGCCCTGAAGTCTGTAAATGCTTGTAGAGGGGCGGAGCAAACCTGTGCCCCAAACCACTTTGGCCTCACAATGAATGAATGAGGGCCAAGAAGCCGCCTGCCCCTTCCCGTGCCTCAGCATCATCCACCCCTGGGAAAAGCAGGCTGCTAGAGCCACTGAAGCTGGTCTTTCACAGGATCCTGGGAGATAAGGACCCCAGACTCCCCCCCCCACCCCCACCTCACACAGTGTTTGGACAGGAGGGTGTGGCGCTGCTTGGCAGTACTCTGGTGGGTCAGAGGCAGCCAGATGTCTTTGCACTAGGAAGAAATCAGCGATCGCCTTTCATGAGACTTCTGTGGACCACACACATTATGGAGGAACAGATTGTGCTCAGATATAATCTAGTTTTATAATCAATCATGGAAGAGCCACGTATGGCTAACTTGGAGTTTAAAAGGTCCCATCAGTGAAAAAAATCTGATTTTTAAAACTTTTTAGTTAAGTGGAAGTTACCTCTCAGTAGGTTCAAGCCTTTCCCCCTTGGTCTTCGAGCATGTCAAACAATCTGCGTCAGATACCATGGATCCCAGCTGCAGGGAAGCATGGTACAATCTCAGTGAGTGGAATCAGAGGGTTGCTGTCCTCAGAAAGTCTACGATGTCAAGGCAGTTGCTTGTGTTTAACTGTGAACAAATAAAACTTGTTTCGCACTACTCTGCTCTCGCTGCAGTGACTGCACTGGCCAGGGCGGGGCTTGTGGGTGAGATGGAGTGTTGCAGACTGTCTGGAATGGTTACCTGAGTAGTGATGTGGGGGTAAGAAGTCATGGCTTCTGGTCTTGGGGTGTACAGCTGATCTGTCTGCTTCAAAGTCAACATGAGGAAGAGGAGGTCACCTCCAGCATCCGTGTCTGCGTCCAAGGGGCTGACCACCTCGGTTTCAGAAAGTCCTTTTGGTAGACTTGTCGAGAGCTGGCTGACCCTGAGCCTGACCAGTTGTGTGGTGATAAGGGACAGTGTAGCCGTTGCCACCTGCTCCCTACGGACTCCTTGCCCTTTGGGCCCTGGGCAGAGGCAGGAGATAACCTCTACATGATTTTGAGACACCCGCCCCCACCCCCAACAGGCTCCTGACTGCCAGGTCTGGGTCCTGGGGTAAAGGAGCAGAATGGGAGCCCCACGGCAGTGCCCACTGCCCTCTGATGTCTGAAAAGGGCAGGTTTTTATTCAGAGGTAAAGCCCAGGAAACCAAGCAGGCAGGGTGGTGGTAGAACACTTTATTCTTGATTGTCTCCCCCCAGGAAGCAACAGTACAGAAGCTAAGTCATCCCCTGTGAGGGAAAAGCCACAGTCAGACCTCACTTTTGGCAGTCAGCAGTCAAGGATGTGCTGTACAATGTTTGGGACTAGACCACCGTGAAGGCCAGGTCACTGTCCTCTTAAAGAGCCACAGAGGGAATTCTGGGTTCTGCCACAGTCTCCCTCTCCCAAGTAAGAGAGGGAAAGGGTTTATCATTTATCCCCTTTGTTTTGGCCCAGTGCCTGAGTTCAACCTGCTGACCCTCCCTTTGTTCATGAGAGACCTTGTGCCTCGCCTCCCGCTTCTCTTGTAAAGACATGGAACTATGAGGGTCCTCCAGTCGGCTCGCTGCATAACACCGTCAGGCCAAGGTGTCGTGCCTGCCGTGGTTGGGCGGCCTGGGCGCCAGCCCAACACCCTTCTCCTGAGGCACTCCCTACCAACGCCGTATCATTTGGGCAATCAGTGAGGATCCTCTTCATCAACACAGCTTAGAGGCAGAAGAGTTAGACGTGAAAGCAAGAGGGACTGAGATTCTCAACACTGTATTGGCCCCCTTTGAGGTTCATGGTGGGGATCAACCAGTGGAAACCAAATGAATTGACACTTGTTTACAGTTTCCCACCAGGTGGCCTCCATGGAGGCTTTGGATAGGCTTTGTCTCTCCCCCTAGGTTTGAGACACTGTGTTGCAAGCTGCCTATCCTTGTGTTTTCCTAACCAGCCCTGGGTAACCGTCGTCTGGGCGGGTCTGCTACTGGCTGCGGCCACAGCTCCCTGGGCAGCCAGGAGCTCACTCACATGCTGTAGAACTTTTCGAGGTAGCTTCTCGGAATGGGCAATCCACTCTTCCATTAGGTCCAGGGCTATGGGGATGAGGCTGACCACACCTCCGTAGTGGTTCCTGGCCTCATCACAGCTGAGGTGGTTCACCATGTCGTGTGGGTACCTGCAGGATGGTGAGCCAACGGTGAGCCAGGCTGTGGGGGATTTGCTGTGGGGGCAAGCAGGACTCTTGGACAACAGTCACCCCGGAAGTTTTATGACAGCTGGACACATGCTTGTCCCTCCAGGTCCAGGTTGAGCAGGTTCACGGCTAGGAGCCCCAGGTGCTTCTTGGTATAGAGAGCAAGAGTTTTCAAAGACTTTGTAGGAACCTATACTAGGGGAAGCACCTCCTGTCACCTTTTCAAAACACTGCTAGTGCCTTCAGCCCTCCCTACCCTGACCTCTAAGGAGCCCCACTGAATGCGGGTCCGGTGCTGTGTGCTATTTAGAGTCAGCCTGTGGGAACCATGTGCTGCTGCCACCCCAGGGATGCTGGCATTCCAACTTCCATAGCCTCTTCCCCCTTGGCCCGGTGCTAAGTCCCAGGAAGCACTGTTTGTCCTACTATATATGACCCAGTTTTAGGTCGGGCTGACTAGGTTAGTCATTCCAATAAATAAATGGGAACTAGGACTTCGGTGCTTAGGGAGACCAGGACTAGAGGCTATGACCAGATAGTCAGTGTGGTAGACCCTGTGCACTTCGTAGAGTCCTTGCCCCATGCACGCACCCACGGTGGGCTTACTTTGCTCTGAGGCTGCTCAAGTCGTTGCTTTGGCTAACCAGGGTTTTGCATTTCTCCAGAAGGTTGTTGGTGATGGGAGTGCCAGAGTGCAGGGCCTCAAAGTGCTGGCAGAGCTTGTTCAGATCTGAGCAGATGTCCAGGAACATGAGCAGTATGCGCCGGTCTGTGGAGTTGTTACAGTAGTGTTCCATGTAGCTCTGCACCTGCAAAGGCCAGTGTGTCATGAGCTGGACAGAGGCCTGTACTAGTCCCACGGGGGGTCTCCCAGGCTCACTGGCATGGTGATAGACACAAAGCATTTGAACATACAGGTTACAACACACAGCTAACCTTTGTGTCCCAGGCACCACACAAAATACTTTTCCAGGCCTGGTCTCACTTGCTCTTCACCTAAACTCTTCACATTAGGTAGGAACCTTTAAAAACCCTCATTTTGGACTGGAGAGATGGCTCAGTGGTTAAGAGCACCGAATGCTTTTGCAAAGGACCGGAGTTCAATTCCCATCACTGACATGGTGGCTAACAACTGTCTGTAACTCCAGTTCCAGGGGATCCGATGCCCTCTTCTGGCCTTTTCAGGAATTGCATGACACAGGTGCACTTACAGACAACAACACACACAAAAAAATTAAAAAAAAATTTTTTTAAATCCTCATTTTACAGATAAATGCCCTAAATGTTGGAGGCTCAGAATGGTGAAATGCCCTGCTGGGGTGCTGGTGTAAATGGCTTACCTGGTCTGAACCCCATGACCCTAACCACCTAAGTCACTGAGGAGGCAGGAGGAATCAGAACACTTTGGGCTGCATTTAAAGGGTTAGGAAACAAAGACTTCTGAATGACTGTCCATGTCAGCTCTCTGCCACACTCCATATTCAAAATACCAAATATCTAAATACCGAACCTAAAATGTTAAGCCTCCCCCCTCCCTGTGACTCTGGGTAGGTTCCATGGACACTTTGCCAAAGGAGCATACAAGGGGCTGAGGACATTGATTCTCTGATGTATTTTAACTCTGTTCCTTGGTAGGTGTGGAGTCTTTGTCCAGTTACCTAGGACCACGCAGGGACTCTGTGTCTGAGCCCAGGCCAGGTGAGATGCCTGGTCTCATGCTTAGAAGGAACTGGCTTGGCTTCAGGTCTGACGGCCGGAGCCATTCATTTCATGGTCAGCTACTACTCAACACAGTAATGAAAGGAGGGGCCTCCCTACCTCCTCCAACACCCCACGCTGTCTCAGCCTAGACAGGGTTGCCGTATTTTGTAGCCATCCAGAGGGATTGCTTCCAAGCTTGTAAGTGACAGAGACTTCTGAATGTACTCCTGCCTGGGCACTGAGGTGTGCACTGAGGTGTGACCACATTTCAGTGGCATCCCTTGGGTGCTCTGGGCATGAGAAAAGGGGTGGAGCAGAGCCGTCCCTTCTGAATCTAAGGTTGTCGAAAGCCACACGGTGCAGGTGCTCAGACAGGTGGAACCCGGTCCGCTATTGGAGATTGGAAACTTGGGAAGGCTGAGCTCTTTGGAACTCCCAGAGGATGTAGCCAAGTGCCTTTAATTCATTCAGGAGCACAGGGACTGGGCATGGACCAGTGACAGACTGGTGGGTATAGGATAACTTACATGGGTGTTTCCGCCTCTGTGTTCAGCCATTTTTCAAGTAAAAAGCAGGAAATTTTTACAGAATTTAGAAAGTATTAAACCAGGCGTGGTGGGCACACGCCCTTAATCCCAACACCAGGGAGGCAGAGGCAGGCGGATCTTTGTGAGTTCAAGGCCACCCTGCCTACATAGTGCCGGGCCCACTGTGGCCATAGGGAGACCCCCGTCTCAAAAAGACCCCCCCCCAAAAAATTTAGAAAGTGTTAAAGGATGCTTCCAGCAAGGATTGCTTGCTTCCCGTGGCCTCACTTCTGGACAGGCAGTTCTAGGCTTGTACAGTCCCACCCCACCTCTAAGCAGGCGACTCCCTCACAGTGGCTCCTTCTCAGTCTCGGGGACCAGCCTGTGTGTGTTCCTAGCTGTGTTGTGGCTGGGACCCCTAAGTCCCTGGATGGCCTCCAACCCCCATTGAGTGAACCTGGTCAGCAGTTCACCCTCAAAGAAATAGGTTAAATAAGTGTCTGCTAAGCCTCTGACGGTGTGCTTATCTGGTCAGTCCTCACTCCTGGGCAGAATCTGATGACAGGGACCATTGTCCACCTGGTCACCAACAAATCCCCAGTGCTCGGCCCAGGACTGGCACGTGACACCAGACACTTGAGTGCATCCCATGAATCAGGAATCCCCCATGGATGCCGTCCTCATACAGGTGCGGAAACGAGTCGTGTGGTAAACTCACTGGCCGAAGGTCACGGGGTGGCAGATGGCCTTAAGATTTGGCTGGCTGACTCTTGAGCCTGTGCTTTAAGCACTGTTATTAACTCACATGTAAACAGGGATGAATGAGAGGACTCATTCAGTTAGGCCTGAGTCCCCATTCTGACTCCTAGTACGTCGTCTTTCATCTTTTGAGTGAGGGGACCGGGCTGGTCTCCCCAGGTTCCCTGCCTCCCCAGTCCTCCCAGTCACCCCCAGCCCACGTGCTCGCGCTTGCCAGTGCCACCTGTCCAATGCTGGCGATGGGCCGGATCTTGTCATGGGCATTCTCCCTGCAGTGCTCTAGAGCTGAGATGAAGGTGAACTGCTGCTGCTGGAAGAGCTTGAACTTCTGCTTGATGCTGCGGAGGGACTCTTTCACTTCGTTCATTGTGGGCCTAGGGGCTCACGGAATCCCTCGGGAGGGATCTACAGGGAGGAGAAAGAGCCTTGAGGGCCCAGGCTATGGAATCTCCCAGTAGCTGCTGAGGGAAGCATCTTCTGTGCCTGCCACCCTTTGCCCATCTGGATGTCTTCCCGCATCCCCCAGGGACAGGGACTGTTTGCATCTTGCTTTGTGGAAAAGGAAGTAGGTTCCAGGAGGCCACACACTTGGGTCATCTAAGTTGTCCTCTGTAGCAGTACCAAGTTCAACCTTACACATTTCCCCTCCCAGGGTAATATAAATGCACATTCTGCCATGGCTGTTGTTGGCCTTCCCTCAGCTGGAAACAGTTTCTCCAGACTGCAGGTATCTAACACATGCACAACTCCCAGGGCCTCTCTGTGGCAGAACTTGGCTTAAAGGACAAGCCACAGGACCCCAAACCAGCAGAGATCAGTTTAAAACAAAGATGTCTGGACCAGGTGTTGCGGCTCACACTTTCACTCTTAGCGCTCACAAGGCAAGACAGGCACATCTCTGAGTTCTAGGCCAGCTGGGGCTACATAGTGAGACCTTGTCTCAAAATACAGAAGTCTGGGGCTAGAGAGAGGGGACCAGCAGTTAAAAGCACTGGCTGCTCTTGCGGAGGACCTGGGTTTAGTTTCCAGCATCTACATGCAGCTAAGAACTGTCTGTAACACCAGTTCTAAGGGATCTGACGCCCTCTTCTGGCATTGCATGCACAGGTACACTTAACAAAAATGTAGGCAGAACACTCATAATTAAAAAAACAACTCTGCCTCACTGTGGTTGGTTAGAGTCAGTCTGGCTCACCCTGGTGAGCCAAGCAGGAGGAAGAGTCATCGCGTGCAGTCCTGTGTGAGAAACTGTCTCACAGTCTGGGCTTGGGGCGAGAGCCTAGAGTAAGGTTTGCAGGGTCCCAGACAGGTATGGGGCCAGCCTTCTCCCCTTCCTGTGTTAATTGCCTGCCTGACCTCGGTCAGTAATATCCCCAGAGACCATCATCATAGTGTCAGTGTAATATGAGCTGTCTGCAGACACTGAGGGTTCCCCATGGGCAGAAGGAGCAGAGGGTGCTACTCAGTGACATCACAGTTTTGCTGAACATGGGCAGAGTACCTCAGGTCCCAGACCTGTGTAATCCTAGCGCTGGAAAGGATCGTAGAAGGCCAATGCCCTGTAACTTCTAGGGAGGTCTAAAGATCAGGGAGTCACAGTGAGTTTGTACCAGAGACCCCTGGGTCCCAAGCTTCCTGATGTCTAAACAGCATCTTCTCTGCCCCACATTCCGTTGCCCCCACCCTCACCGCTGCCAGGTCCCAGCACACAGCTCGGGCTCCAGCATGCCAGTCTGTGCCACATGAGCAGGCTCAGGGGAGGTTATGCCAAAGTCAGGCCCCAGGCAAGATGCTAGATGAGGGGCTGGAGAGATGACTCAACAGTTAAGAACACTGACTGCTCTTGTAGAGCAGAGTTTGACTCCCAGCACCCACAACTGCAATCCCAGTTCCAGGAGAATCTGGCGCCCTCTTCTGACCTCTACAGGCATTGCATGACATGGATGCACTTACATACATGCAGGCAATATACACACACAAACATTTTTTGAAGATTAAAACACAAGATTTAAAAAGATACTAGAAGATAAAGGACAGGCAGAGCAAGGTCAAGTGTAAGTAAGGCATACTGGCAGCTTCCTGAGGTCAGAGTGGAGTGGAAAACGCTTCTGTCCCCCTTAGTATCCTGAACTGTGAGCAAGGCCGGAGGGCGGGGCACCTCTGTGGAGAAGAAATGGCAGCAGGAGAGTAAAGGAAACCGCCAGTGGACCAGAACATGGCCTCCGTGAAGGGCTGACCCATAAATCAGAACTGGAGGTGACTGGAGGAGACCGTTTAGAGACACGGGGTCACCGCCAAATTGCACTCCATTAACCTGAGTGGGTGCCTAGGTCAAATTTAGCAGCACATGCACCAGGCCTGCCAAACAGCTGGAAGGAGCTGCAGCCCTGGTGGTCAGTCTGGTGCAAGGCCTGGCAGGGACCCCCTTCCTTCCTTCCCAGCCTCTCTCCCTGCACTCAGAACTCTGCCTTGTTTACTGAGCACCTACTATGTGTTCATCATGGGGCAGAGTTGGTTCTCTTGGGGACAGTGGTTTTCTGTGAAGTCAGAGTATAGGGAAAAGGGAAGGAGGTAGAATTTAGGGGCAGGGATGCCAAAAAACTCAGTATCCATTTAAGAGAAAAAAGAATAAAATAGCAGAATTTTAAGAAAGATAGGATGGAGTCAGCACTGCGCCTTGCCCTACTGGACAAAAGGGGAAAAACTGGGTAGTAACAAGCTTGTCTTTATCAACTTGTGATAGCTTATTCTAAATGGATTTTTGGTGTTCATTTTGAGTTTCAGAAAATATTGTATTAACATATCTATCTTGACTTTTGAGATTCAAGGGCTCTTACATTCCATTCCCAGATGAGTGCCTCACCCTACGCCTGCCACTTACAGATGACTCAAGTTGAATACCTAGAAGTCAGAGTGGCTTGGAGGTGGGTGTCCAGGGAGACAGGGATGTGCCTTGCTAGCCTGGCCTTTACCCATGGTGCTTAGCACTGTGATAGGCAATGGCAGAGGTGACCCTGAAATCACCAGTCCTGGGTTCAGATTCTGTTCCCCCCTTATCATTGGCCTCAGGTGACAAGCTGCTCTTAGTTTCTGACCTTCAGTGTCCTAACATAGACTGGGAGACAGCAGTAGCCACTCAGCCTTGGGATGATCATGTCATGAGATAGGTGTAAGGAAGGCGGGTTGAAAATGCTTTTGCTACCTTGATTAGCCAGTATGCAAGTGATGGGGAACTGCCTCAATAGGTGTGGTTGTATACCTCAAGGGGAACAAGGGATGCTGAGGGCTGAGCTTCCTGGTGGAGGGGAAATTAGACTTGAACAGTTAGCTTGAAAAAAAGGGGCTTAGCTGGGTGTGGTGGCACACACTTTTAATCCCTTAATCCCAGCACTCGGGAGGCAGAGCCAGGCAGATCTCTCTGAGTTTGAGGCCAGCCTGGTCTACACAGTTCCAGACCAGCTGGGGCTACAGGGAGACCCTGTCTCAAAAAGGCCAAAAAAGAGAAGGGGGCAGGTGGGTTGTACTAGGCTGAGGGGCAAGGATGTGGAACAGGATCAGGCCAGGAGTTCAGAGGAGGCTCTGAAGGCTTTTATTTTGGGCTGGAGGGACAAGCACCACACTGGGTCTTTCCTATCCTGTTCTAGACTGGTATTGTGCTGGGTTCTACAGCAATGGGCAGGGTGTGCCAGCCCTTGCCCCGGGATGAACTCTTTTGAAGTGGGAAAAGGGCAAGGCAGAGCTCAGAGTGGAGAAGGAGTGGACACATAGAAGCCAGGGCCATGTGGTCTACCAGGGGGTCATCTTCAGGGCCAATAAAAGCATGCTGCAGCCCTCCATAAGCTGCTGTGCACTAGACAGGGCTCAGGGAAGCCCTGGGCATGTTTCATCTCAAGCCCTGGCTGTCGCCTAGGACGAGGGACCACCACAATCACACAGGACAGCCAAGGGAGGCTGAAATCATGTAGCTAGGAAGTAGGCAAGCCTGGACCTGTCCCTCATCACCCTCCCTCTCTGCTGCTCCTGAGATGAGCATGCCAGGCATCCCGCTGACTTGAGGGTTCTGGAGGACAGATGGGAGATGCTACCAAGGGTTAGAAGAGTTACTCAACCACTTCTAGGGTTCCCCACTAGCCAGACCTGGGCCTCACTTCCACTCCCATAGCAATGAGAGCTGTCCTTGGGGCTGCCTAGGTGTGTTTCAGCTCTCTGACACCCTCTGCGGACTTCTCCACAAACACAGTGCTGCCTGGCTGGTGGCCCCACGAGCCTCCTAAAGCAAACCCGACTTGGTTCTTGATCTTAGCAACTTGTGACAGCACACGTCAGGGATGTCATGAGAGGGGCTGTAACAAGCTATCCAAAGTGATAGCCCCTTGAAAGCAAGTCTGCAGCCAAATTAGAGGGGAAAAAGGCGTGGGTGCAGGCGCGTCTTCCTCTTGGGGAGGAGGGAGAAAAAAATGATTACCCCATAGGTTTGGGGCTTTGATTGATTTGTATTTTTCCAGGCCGCTAAAGAAGATTGGATCATGGTATGAAAAGTGCCTAGGGCTTAAAATAAATGAGGAGAAAGGCAAACATTTCAGAAATGTCCAGGAAGCACTCGGAACCTCCCCAGTGCAAATTGCAGCTTAGTTGTTGAGTCCTTTGTTGGGGGCAGGGTCACTTCTTTCCCAGATGTCTTTGCAATTGGTTTGACAGACCTACCAAGGGCTGCCACTTTGAGGAACCTCTTATGGGAGGGGGGTAAAGGGGGGCAGTGCTGCTCTCTTTATGTGGGAGGGTGTCAGAGCCCAGGATTTGGATGCCTGTTCCTAACCCATTGCCCTGGGCAAGATCTTCTCTCCTTAGCTAGGTCTCAGGCTATGTATCTGAAGGACGGGGTTTGGATTGGGCTGCTGACTGAGTCTGTATTCAGCATCTGGTGAGGAAAGAGGGCCAGAAAGGGGAACTGTCTAGCCCAAAGTGGCCCAGCCAACTGCTCTGCCCAGTCTGATCCTGGGAGTGAGGGTACTTATTCAACATGCCTGCTGCGGTGTCCCAGGAGTCCTGAGGGCAAGCCTGACTTGGTTCTTGACCCATGAATGCCAGGCATGTAAAGTGAAGCTCCAGGGGCTGGAGAGATGGCTCAGGGTTAACCCCTGAGCACTTGCTGCCTGAGTTCAGTTCCCAGCACCTACATCAGGCACTTCACAACCGCCTGTAGCTACCTTCAGGGGAGCTCTCAACACCCACATGCATGTGTACATACTTGCACCCACAGAGATACAAGTTTTTAAGAATCTTTTAAGAGATGAGCTACAGCTATCCAAAGTGACAGAGGTGAGATTCAGGTGACTCTCATGATTAAAGGGAACTGCTCCAGGGTGGAAACCCATCACAGGGCAAATCTGTCAGGCTCACAAGGTCCAGAGAAACCAGCACCAGGACTTAGGGTTGTCCCTGTGGGCTGTGCCTGGCCCTCTTGGTGAATACACACAGTGGTTTGGATCTCCCCGCAGAGGAAGAGCTCCCACTGCACCCGCAGAGCCCTTCCCCTATAGTCTCTCTAAGGCGGTGCAAAGCCTTCCGTGCAGACACAGACTTTCCTGCCCATCCCCGGGTTTTCCAGCGCCCCAGCCCCGCATTACCCTGGCCGTGAGCGGGACTGGCCTTCGACTCACAAAGCGCCCAGAAGCTGGAGCGCCTCCGTGGGTGTCTGGGCTCCGGAGGGTGGAAAGGTCCAGTGGGTGGGGTCGGGCTGCGGAGGCCAGGAGGCCGCGCTGATTGTGACCGCAGGTACCTAGGCAATTGGGTCACATGGCCACGCTGTCCAAGCTGGGAGATCTGCCCAGTTTGCAGCCACCGGGTCCCACAGACCGCCTTGCTGTCTGCAAACGCGCGTCCCCACATCTGCCCCGGTGCCTTCGTTTTAAAGACAGAGAAACCGGGGCCCAGGGTGCAGAGCCAGGGCTGGACTCCAAACTCCCTGCGCTCGGGCCCGTGCGGGGATAATGCAGGGTTTGCTTCCAGGGGCAGAGCCCCCTTGAGGGGTCCTGGATCGGTGAGCTGTGGCCCCCGTGTGGCCCCTCCATGTATCCCGGGGTCCTCCTGATGTTCCCCTCGGGGTGTGCTAGGGTCTCCACGCTATGGCCCCTGGGGTGTCCGGGGTCCCCGCGCTTTTGCCCCTGGGGTGTCCGGGCCCCGAGCTGTTGCGGGGGTCCCCTCGCCTCCGAGTAGGGAGGGTCTGTTCCCCCGCCAGGCGCGTCTGCCAGGAAGGCGGGCCGGGCCGGGCGGACAGAACTTGACCCAGGACTAGACCAGGCGGCGGCCTGCGCAGGTGACGCGTTGGCGAGCGTCCTAGCAACGCGGTTACTAGGGAGCCGCGCGCCGCCCGCAACATGGACGCGACCACCGCCCCGCACCTGATCCCCCCAGAAATGCCCCAGTACGGGGAGGACAACCACATCTTCGAGTTGATGCAGGTGACCCGGAGGCGCGGGCGACGGGGAGCGCGGCGAGGCGGCCTGGGGACCCACCGAGGGCCGGACCGGGGAGGGAGCAGGGCGGAGACAGGCCTCCCGCACGGACTGCGCCTGGGCTCTACCGCCAGCCGGCAGCTGGGTCTGGGAGGAGACCCTCTCCCCAGTCCCCCTCCGGTGAAATCCGGCGGTAACCAGGCTCTCACAATCCAAGACTGCTGGATGCCTCCTTATAGGTGCCTGAGCTGGGGGTGGGGTGGGGTTCCTTACCACCCTGGGCCCTGGCAGCCCTAACAAGTCAGGCTCAGCCACCTGCCCTCAACAAAGAGAATACTGAGAGCAGAGATTTGTTCAATGTGACCATGTTGGAAGAGAAACAAAGAGGTCCATAGAACCCCCCAAATCCGTTTTGGGTGTGATGAGGTTCAGGTTTAAATAGAGGGCAGGAGTTGCGCATAGGTCAACCTGTGGTCTCATCCATCACTGACCCATCATCATCCTCTCTGGCGCCTGTGTCTGCTGCAAGGTGGTCTGAAGTGGTCAGAACTATTTGTAATCTCTGCCTGGAAACCAGGTTTCAGCCTTCTTCCGCCAGCACAATTTCCTGGGGAAATTCCAGCTTCTTGGGGGACCCTTGTTTCAACAGACAGTCAAAGGGGCACAAGTGTCTCTTTATTCCTTGGAGGACTGGTTACAGGAGTTGTCCAAGTTCAATATGGCATCCCTACCCAGGTGGCTTCCTCCTGGACAGCGTCTGCTGTCCTTAGGACCCAGCTTTCCCAAATCCTGCAGCCCTCATCCTGGCCCCCAGCCTACTGTGGTCTTAAGCCAAAACCTTTCCTCGTCTTCATGTGACCCACTTTGCCATGTGTGCCCTGGGGGGTGGTGCAAAAGACTTTTAGAGTTGAACTGAAGCACAAAGGCAGGCTGGAGGTCAGTTTCTAGACCTCCTGCTTCTGGAGGTCTACTCCAACCCCCAAAGCATAACCATGGTGACACTTGAGCTCAGGCGGAGAAACCATCTCCAGCAAGCATGGTTCCTTCATAAAGTGTTAATGGTTCAGGGAGACAGGAGTTGGGGGATAGGAGATGGGGGTCTACAGTCTGCTCTAGAGAACCCGGCCTGCCTTCCAGTTGGCTTGATAGAGCAATTACCAAGAAAGCTTTGAGCTTGTTTGAGTATTCTTTTCATGATCATTTCTTTGGAGAAACAAAACACTTGGGGCTGGAGAGATGGCTCAGCAGTTAAAAACAATGGCTGTTTCTCCAGAGGACCCAGGTTCAGTTCCCAACACCCATATAGTGGCTTGCAACTGCCTGTAACTCCAGTTCCAGGGGATCCGACACCTTTTCCTGGTCTCTGCAGGCACTATACACATGTGGTACATACATGTAAGCAAAATATTCATACACAAAATAAAAATAAAATATTTGGGGCTGAAGAGATGGCTCAGTGGTTAAAAGTGCATATTGCTCTTGTAGAAGACCCTGGTTCAGTTCCCAGAACCAGTGCCCTTTTCCGACCTCCACAGGCGTCTGCATGCGTGTGGTACAGATACGCTCACACAGGCTCACACACATACACATACATTTTAAAAATCTTTTTAAATGCCATGAAATTTTATTTTAAAAAAATTTTAGACTCAGGAAGTTATAATGCTATGGATCACTTGTCTACCCTCGCACCATCTAACACACCAGGAGGACATTGTCAAAGCCTTGACGCTAGAGTGTGTAGGGTACTGTGGCCTGTGCTGCAAGTCCTCACTTGGATCTGGTCCATTTTCTCCTGCACTCAGGTTTCTGTGGTGGTGTGTATGGCTCTTGAAATTTTATCAGGCATCTGTCGATTTTATCAGATTCACAGATCCACTGTCACACATCCACTTGAACTCATCCTGAGAAATACCCTGGACATGACAGATCTGGCCTGTTTGTTTTTCAAACACACATTACCTATTGCCACCTCTTAACTAGCTAACATTATGTGGAAACAGCACATCCAAGTGTGTGATTAGCCCAGCTGTGCCACTGAACATGCAGCGGGGTTGGGGGAGGGGAGGGTTGAGGCCCCAAGAAGGGAAAGAAACTTGCCTGTGAGACTTAGAGTTGAGCTAGCTGCCAGGACCTCTCATCGTGGGTACTCCCTCTGTCCTCAGAACACCTCAAAGCCCCTTCCTACCTGCCCTAGCAGCCCAGCCTCCATCAGCTCTCTAATGCCTTTCTGTGCCATTTTGTACTACCCTGAAAACTTCTCCCTTATATGTTGCTCGGCCGGGTTAAATGGACAGAGTATCAGAGGACTATTTAGATATTTGGCTGATAAATGTTCAGTCCCATTCAGGAGACACCCAAGTGGTACTGATGCCCTAGTGACCCCAGCTCACACCTTTAGTGATTGTGTACACACAGAGAGGCCCACAGAACCCATGACCTGCTTGGGGGAGCCGTGAATGAGTAAGAAGGTATGCGGTGAGGCAGGGCACAGAGATACTCACAGTGGGACTGTGTAAGAGCAGCAGGGATTTACCAGGTACCCCGGGCCCTGAGGAGCGAGCAGAGGTTAGCCAGTCAAGGGACAGGAAGCGTTCAAAGAGCCTGTGCAGAGCAAAGGTGCAGAACCAAGAAAAGCCCAAAGGGAGGAGGGGAGGGACTTGTCAGCTCTGCCCCCCTCAAGCCTCTGCTCCCGGAGACCCTACCAGATACCCCCATAGCTGGTCTCCATGGCAACCAGGGGCCCTGCAGGTGTTAACCTCCCAGTGTCTGCTGTGCCCACAGAACTTGTTGGAGCAGCTTCTGATCCACCAGCCCCAGGACCCCATCCCCTTCATGATCCAGCACTTGCACCGGAACAATGACAATGGTAAGTGCCCTCTCCGCTCCTCCAGTCTAGAAGTCTTCTGTCCTACCACTGTGTGAAGGGAGGTTGGAACAGGTTGGAAAGTTTGATAACTTGTGGTTAGTTGGAGAAAGCTTTCATTTCTTCTGGAGCCTAATAAAAATTCTCTTGCCAAGTTATTAGAATGCAAACCTCAGAATGGCCCACAGAATCAATTATTAATGCTTCCGCCTGCCCTGGCTGATGTCGCCTGTTGGGTTTAAGCTCTCTGATCATTCCACTTGTCAGGCAAAGTTTGGTTTCTGGTCTACCTAGACAGGTGAACACTTGGGCTTTTCCAATAGTCTTATTATCACTACCTGCTAATGAGTTGCAGACTTCCCCAAACCTCGGCTGAGGGCAGGTTGATCAGACCCCAGGCCACAGTATAGAACTGGGTAGAGGGAGGGGGAAGAGGAGGGCTTTCAAGCAAGCAGAGCCCCTCACTGCATCCCAGAGTGGTAGATTTGTCAAGCAGAGCGAGGATGCTTCTGCCCTACATGAACTGTTGGGGGAACCGGTATCTTGATTCTTTGTTTTTGATTTGTTTTTCCATTGGGCCATTAGCTTTACTGAGGGAGCTTCCAGCTCACTAGTAAAGTTAACATTCAGGGCAGCCTCAAGAGACAAGGTCTGAGATGCCTGGGATCAGACTGCCTACAGTCAGAAATGATGCTAAGTTGTTTAATAAAAGATTAAATTATAAAAAGGTGGAGAGAGGGACTGAAAAGAGGCTCAGTGGTTAAGAGTACTCGCTGCATAGTCACGAGGACTGGAGTTCAGACCCCAGTACCCATGTAACAAGCCAGGCTGTCCTACAAACACCTGTAAATTCAGCTCCAAGGGATCCAACACCCCGTTCTGGCCTCTTTGAGAGCACAGGTACACACACCCTGTGCATTCACTCAAACACACAGACACATACAAATAAACACACACATACACAAATAAACAAATCTTGTGATAACTGGCTTTAATAGTAGACAGCACAACCTAGAGCCACCTAGTCTCCATGAGGTGCTATCTATGTGGGTTGGCCTGTGGACACGTCTGTGGGGGACTCTCTTAAGTTAATTGACATGGGAAGACCCAGCCCACTCTAGGAGGCATCATTCCCCAGGCAGGGGCTCCTGAACTGTGTAACAGTGGGGAGGTTGAGCTGAGTGAGCACATTTGCATTCATCTCTCTGTTCTTGACTGTGGATGTGATGTGACCAGCTGTGAAGTTCTGCCTGGGCATTCCCACAGTGATGGGCTGAGGCCTGAAGCTGTAGCTGAAATAAGCCTCTTACTCCCCTAAGCTGCTCTTTCCTTGGGTATTTGATCTCAACAACAAATCTTAAAAGAAAGAGGGGGCTGGAGAGCTAGTTTAGCATCTAGAAGCAGTTATTGCTCTTCAGAGGTCCTGGGTTCTGTTCCTAGCGCCCACGGGGTGGCTAGCAACTGTCCGTAACTCCAGTTCCAGGGGCTCGGACACCCTCTTCTGGCCTCTGTGGATATTGTATGTACAGGTGTAATTTACATACATGCAGGCAAAACACTCATACATATAAAAGTTTAAATAACTTTAGAGAGATGGGGGGCAGACTCCGTGTCTACAGATGTGCCCTGTTCACACATCCTGATGGTTTTTCGGCTTGGCAAGTGGTTCATCATGGTGCGAGGCCTCTTGTGTTTTTAAAAAATATATTTTATTATTTTATGTGTATGAGTGTATTGCCTGCATGTATGTAAATGCACCTGTGTTATGCAGTGCTCACAGAGTTCAGAAGAGGGTGTTGGAGCCCCTGGAACTGGAGTTAATAGACGGTTGTTAGCTGCCATGTGGGTGTTGTGAATCAAACCCAGGTCCTCTGCAAGAGCAGCCAGTGCTCTTAACTGCTGAGCCATCTCTCCAGCCCCGGTGAGAGGCCTCTTGTATCCCAAGGTCACCACATGGACCTAAGTAGGGGGTTCAAAAGAGAGCCTGGGCAGTGCCCTTTTCTGAGACTCTCCTGAGGTACAAATGTCTGAACCTGAGTATTCGGTCCGGGTGTCCTGACCGCTCAGCTGAGGTTAATTAAGACCATAGACTGGGTGGAAGCCGAGCTGTGATGGAAGGGATAGGTGGGCTTCCCAGCTTCCTCTTCCCCAGGCAATTCGCTCTGTGTCTCTCCTCCCTGGTTGGCCGGTCACTATGCTGTGCAGGTGGGAGGTTCTGCCCTCCCTGGGTTCGCCTGCACTAAGGAGGAGGGTGCTAAGCCCTCCCTTCCCTCCCAGGATCCTCACCACTTTAAGACCTCGCTCCCTCTAGTCGCCCAGTTTGCCAGAGGAAGACGTCTCCCTCTTCTGTTTCCCCCAGCTGAGGCTGGCTGCAGTCAGAGAGAGGAGGCTATCGCCTAGCTCCGTCCTCCATCAGTCCCTTGCTGCTGGCTCCATTTCTGCCCTGGCTCACTCGCTCGCTCGTTTCCACCCAGGTAGATGAAGGAAAGGCTAAAGTGAAGGGGAAGGGAAGGAGCTGCAGGTCTGCGTGCCACCACCAGGGGGCGCTCAGCGCACTGTCGTCTGACACCCCTGCGGCAGGGGGCCTCTGTGCAGCTGCTTGCTCTGTAAACTGCTATGGAGGCTGTGAGGCTCTGGTCTAGCCTGTGGTGGCTTGGGAGTGACCACACCTGATGTTTCCAGGAGATGCAATGCTGGATTTCTGCTTGTGGAAAGTTTACCGAGATTCTTTTCTAAGTTAAAAAATTGTGTGCAGAGCTGGGGATGTGGTCCAGCTGGTAGAGTGTTTGCCTAGCGTGCACAAAGCCCTGGGTTCCATTCCCAGCGCTCCAGAAACCGAGCATGGCCCGGTGCACGCCCGTGATCCCAGCACCCGGGAGGTGGAAGCAGGTGGAACAGAAGTTCAGGGTTATCCTCTGACATACATCCAGTTGGAAGCCACTCTGGGGTAAACAAGACTCTGTCAAGAAAGAAAGAGAGAGAGGAGAGAGGGACAGGGAGAGGGAGAGGGAGAGAGAGAGAGAAAGGAAAGAGGGAGAGAGGGAGGGAAGGAGGGGAAGGGAGGGAAAGAGAGAAGAGAGAATGAGGGAGAGAGAGAAAGGAAAGGCTGGAAGGAAGGAAGGAAATGTGTGTGGTGATGAACTTACAGAGCTGCTTGGCCCTTTCTGCTGGGCAGGTCTGCCTATCTAGGAATTTTTTTTTTTAAATATTTTACTTGAAGCTGGGCATGGTGGCACACGCCTGTTGTCCCAGCACTCGGGAGGCAGAGGCAGGCTGATCTCTGTGAGTTCAAGGCCAGCCTGGTCTACATAGTGAGTTCCAGGACAGCTGGGGCTACAGGGAGACCCTGTCTCAAAAAGACCAAAAAATTTTTTTTACATATTACTTTTTGACTGTATGACTGTATTACCTGCATGTATGTGGGTGCACCCGTGTCATTCAGTGCCCACGGAGGTCAGAAGAGGGCATCAGACTCCCTGGAACGGATGGTTGTTAGACGCCATGTGGGTGCTGGGAATCAAACCCCAGTCCTCTGCAACAGCAGCCAGTGCTCTAACTGCTGGGCCGTCTCTCCAGCCCTGGCTGGGGATTCTTGAGCCAATTCCTCGCACTAGCCTGGAGTGAAGAGCCTGGAACTGTCTTTGTCTCCTCTTGTACAGCTCTTGCCTCTCAGACCTCCTCCCTGTGTGGTGTTCCCTACACCACCCGCTTCCATGCACTCCCAGAGCTGAGGCTTTGCCCTGGCTGCCCTCCACAGAGCCCCTGTCCGTCTCCCACACTGTGCCCACTCCGTTGCTCTCAGGCTGGGAGACAAATCTAGACCTGCGTTGGGGACTCCTCACCATGGCTGACCTCCCGCCTGCCGGCCACTTGGATGGGTGTGGCTTTCGGACCTGCAGTTTCTTTGGGCACAGGTTCTAGGTCCCAAATCGATTGCTTGGTGGGTTAATTAGTCCCCCAGTTCTCCACCCCACTCTCAGCAGCTGGGCAATGTTTATGGGACAGCTGTGTCCTTTGGCTCCATTTCCAGTCCCTTAAATGAGAAGACGACAAAGGTATCCACGGGCTCTCCTTCCCAGACAAGGGAAGCAGGGAATGTGGAGGAGGAGAAGCAGGAAGCCGACCTTTTCTGGAGTGTCCACGGTGAGGTGTCTGGGATTAGCATGAGCCACTCCTTTCTGGAGGCCTGGAAGGATCCCATAGCATCCGACACACATTTCCCTTGCCCTGAGCTCCTAAGAGGGGTGGCAGGCCTACTAGCCATGTAATTGGCTCTGTCAGCCAGAGCCAGACCACAGTCCTGCCTCCTGGGAATGGGGCAAACTTGGGTACACACAGCACAGGCTCGGAGCCTGGGCACAGCAGAAGGGCTCAAGACTCATCCCAGCCCAGGAGCTCACACAGGAGGGAGGAAAGGAGTCCTGCACGCAGGCTAGCGGCCCCTTTGCCGTGAGAAAAGCAGTTTTAGTACAAAGTGAGCATTTACAGTGGCCCTGGGCAATATTAGAGCAGGCGGTGGTGGATATAATGGTGTGTTTCGTTTCTTATCAAACGTTTGTCCAGGAAAGCCGTGTATTAGAGCTTCCAGTACCTAAGGGGTTCCTTGTGAATTTTAAATGGTGCTCATGGTTAAACCTCAAAAGGCTCCGTGGATGGAAAGGTTCTTTGATTTCCTTTGAAGTGGTTGTTGGAGGTTGATTACTCTTGGCAGCCAAGCAGCCTTTTATGACACTGTTTATAAATAATTACTTATGAGCAGAGCTGGAGTTTCAAGGTGTTAGATTTTAAGAAACTGAAATTAATCACATAAATGAGTACGAGAAATTAGGCGGGGGAGAAGGGCCGTGATGTTCCCTTTTAAAGTATTTCCTTAGGTGTGTACAGTTTGGGTGCCACTTACTGGAGCCTGGAATGGAGGGGAGAGTTTCCCCCGTAGCCCCAGCTCAGGGCCTTTGCCAAGGCAAACACATCAGACCCCGGTTGGGAGTTGGACTTGGTCCCAGATGGCCCTAGCTCCTTCTCCCTTCTCCAGCTCCGCCATCCCTGAACCCTGATAGGTCTGGCTGGGATTCAACAGAATGGACAAAGGCCTACGGCTTTGAGCTCCATTAGCATGAGTGTGCCCCCTGCTTCCTGGCATGAGGCCCTTTGCCTTTGATCACCCTCCCTGCTGCCCTCCAATCACTCTGTGGCACTCGCCTCATCCTTTCGCCTCACCGAGAGGCCCCTTATTTCCAGATTTGGCCTGCCAAGCAGTGTTTCCTCCTTGCTGTGGTTTCTCACAGACAGAGGCCCTGGAAGGCCTTGCCCTGGCCTATGAGCTTAGAGTGGGGATGGACCACTCGCATCCTGCCCTGAGCCCCTGCACTGAAACCCTGGATGCTAAAAAACGCTCCCTACTTTCCATGGCAGCCTGTACCATGCAACTGCCTCAGTCAGGCGAGCCCCTCACAGGGCCTGGCTCCCGGGTGGCGGTGACACTGTGGCTGGTGGCGGCCCTGTGGCCACAGGACATTGAGGATGCAGGCTGCAGTGTCTGGTTGCAGACGCAGCGGTATACTTTCTCTGGCCATTGGGTAGCCTCATTTGGAGTGTCATTCCTGGCCAGGTGGCCCTGGCCTGGCTCCCCAGCATGTTCCCTAGAATGCCAACTGGCAGAGGGAGCCCTTTGGAAGGTGGTGGGCGATGGTGACTCTCAGTGGCCACAGCAAGGCCCGGGGACAGCGGAAGAGCCATTGCAGATGCCGCTACGACCCTGCAGTACTGGCTTCTGTGGAGTGAGTTGGGTACTAGGACTTGGTACCTACACTTGGGGATGGCCATGCCACTTCTAGGTCTTGGGATGATACTCACCAAGGCGGACACAGGGGCAAGCCACTGGGCCAGTGGCTTCCACAGGGAAACCAAGGTGTGGTCTCAGAAGAAGCATCGGGGCCTGGGGAGCTCCTGGTTGGGTTGGGGCAAGGAAGCCATTCCCGACAAGAACATGAGAGGTGGTAAGTGGGGTGGAAAGAACATCTCTGGGAAGAAGAGGGTGTCCCAGGCCTCTCAGGGGAAAAGAGGGGATCATTTGGGATCCCAGGGGAGGCTCTGGATCTCAGGGCTGTTATGTAAAGCAGGACATATCCCAGCCTTCTGGAAGCTCTGCCCCTACAGGTCAAAAGTGCCCTAAAGGAACCCAGGGACTTGGGTCAGCAAAGCACTGTGGTTCCCTTCCAGGGCTCACTCACAGGGTCACCTTGCTGCCTGCCACCTGTGCTCTATCCACCCCCCAACACTGCCCTTCCCTCCAGGCTGCTTCAGTCTTGTGCTCTGTGAGACCTGCACAGTGAGGGAGGATCATCTCCAACGCTCCTTCACCTTCACCTAGGAAGTGAGAGGGTGCTGGGAATTTGGGCAGAGCCCTGTTTAAACCCAACAGCCTGGCGAGGTGGCCACGTGCTGGTCACTAAATCACTGGCCCAAAGGATACCATCTGGTCCCTTCTCTGTGTTCATCTGCAGAGGGGACTGTCTTGCCTGCCTTTCCTCTGGAGACAAGTCCTCCAGCACCACGTAGAGAGAAGTGGCTCAAGCCAGTCACAGCAATCCTCTTGCAGCAGGGTCAGGCTAAGGGGACTGACTCACTCCCCACAAGTACAGAGGGAGTGACTTCATCAGAGCCTTTGGTGGCTGTCACAGTGGCTCACATCCAGATACTGGGTCCTGAGTACCCTTGCCCCCTGCCCCCCACCACTTTTCTTCTGGTTTTCTAGGCACTTCAGGGCTTTTGTAGGACCAAGAACATTCCAGAGCTGGGACTCAGAGCCACAAATAGATGGCCAATTTTTATTTTCATTTGCATAGAAATGCGCACATTGGAAAACAAAGACTTGCCTGTCTTGGGTTTTATAAATCTGGCTCGTGCACTCAGCCTTTTCATTATCTTCTGTAAAATGATGGGGGGTACAATTTGCTAAATAAAAAGGCATAAATATATATATAAAACATTGAAGGTCGATTTACATAAAATACAACTTTATTTGAGAGAGTGTCCCCGAGACAAAGTCCCTTTTTAAAATGCTTTATGGCGTTTGAAAATCCCAATTGTTCTGATATTTATTAGTTTGGCAAACAAGTTTACCGTATCCGCGTCCCCGCGGAGATAGAAAAATAGACCATCTCTGTGATCACTTACCTCTCTAAACACAGAGAATGTGTGTTGGGACGAGCATCTCCCAGTCGTGGGGTTATAAACGGCCGCGTCACTGGCAGAAATGAAATCTGGAGAGGAAAGAAATAAATCCATGTGGAGCTGTGCGGATGGGGGAGGCCGCTTTGTCATGCCGAGGGCTGACATTCAAATCTTTTTCTTCCACAGTGCCGAAGATTGTGATTTTAGGTCCACCAGCCTCAGGGAAAACTACCATAGTAAGTGCATTATTCTAAGCATTGTGGTGTTGGGGCATCTTATTTAGATCCAGTGGAAAGGAGGCTGTTTGTCCGTGAACTGTCCCTACGACTGAGCTTTTCCTCTTTCCCTTATCACTTCCTTATTACGAAGACAGTGTGTGTTCATAACAGAGAACCTGAAAAGACAAAAACACAGATGCACAGCTGTGCAGAGATAAGCGCTTCCCAAATATGCTGGCACTGCCCCTTCACTGGGCACACCCTCAGCTGTATCTGTACGACACATTTTTAGAAGGAGTGCTTGGCTGGCCAGCTAGCACATGTCAGAGGCGTCTAGCAGGAGTCTTTTAAAAAAGTATTTTATATTATTTTTGTTTTTTACATGTATAAGTGTATTGTTTACGTGCAGGTGCACCCATCTTGTGCAGTGCCTGTGGAGATCAGAAGAGGGCGTCAAATCTCCCTAGAGCTATGGACGGTTGTTAGCCACCATGTGGATGCTGGGAATCAAACCTGGGTCTTCTACAAGGGCAGCCAGTGCTCTTAACTGCTAAGCCATCACTCCAGCCCCCTAGCATGGAATCTTATGATTCAGTCTTATAGGGCTGTAGAGATGGCTCATCAGTTAAGAGCACTGGCTGCTCTTGCAAAGGACCTGGGTTCAATTCCCACCATCCACACGGTGGCTAACAATCATCCATAACTCCAGTTCCAGGGGACTCTGATGCCCTCTTCTGGCCTCTACAGGCACTGCACACACATGGTACACTTACATGCATACAGGCAAAACACTCATACACATAAAACAAAGATAATAAGAAAATAAAGATTCGGCCTTCCTGTTTGAATTGTGAACTATTTCAAGCAGTTGGAAAGGCACAGAAACTGCATTGTAGATGCTCACGTGCCCAGCTCCGTGATCTTTCCCTGTTTGTCATTTTGACATTTTTATTCTCTTCATGGTAAAGAAAAGGCAGCGTTGTTGGGCAAGCAGATACCCCAGCCTCTTCTGTCACGTCTTTGTATCATCCCTTGGGCCAGACACAGGCCAGAGGCTGGTGAAAGAGAAGGTGAAGACGGACCAAGCAAGAGCCTTAGGCTGGGAGGCGCCTGGTCTGCTCGCCTCCCTTGGGGTCCCCTCCAGCCACAAATGCCTCTGCTTCCCTAGAACCAGGCTTTGCTCCTTCTTTCTCTAGACCTGATCCTTGCTAGTCAAGTGCTCTACCACTGAGTGGCACTCCCAGCTCAGCCTTCTTTTATAGCAGAATGCAGAAAGACTTGGATGGACTTAATTCTGTTTTTTTTTTAAATTTAATTTTATTTATTATTTTTATTTTATGTGTATGTATGTATTGCCCAAATGTAGGTAAGCACACTCATGTCATGCAGTGCCCGTGGAGATCAGAAGAGGCTGTCAGATCCCCTGGGACTAGAGCTACAGACAGCTCTTAGCTGCCATGTGGGGTGCTGGGATTTGAATCTGGGTCTTCTGCAAGAACAACTGGTGTTCTTAACTGCTGAACCATCTCTCCAGGCCAATTCTGTTATTTTTTCTTTTGCTTTTAGACAGTCTCTCTATGTAGCTCAGGCTACCTTTGAATTCACAGTCCTCCTACCTCAGTCTCCCACATGATGGGATTATAGTCCTGTACCACCATGCCTGTCCTTGAGTGAAGTTATTCTTTTTTTGAAACATGCATGTGTGTGTACACCCATGTTTATAAACATGTGTGGAGGCCAGAGGACGTCCTTGGGTGTCCTGCTCAGAAACACCATCCACCTTCTTTGAGATGGATCTCCCAATGGTCTGGAACTCACTAGAAGGCTAGACTGCCTGGCAGGTGAGCCCTAAGGACTCACCTTTCCAACGTGAGGATTACAAGCACACCACCGTGCTCAGCAGCTTTTCGTAGGTGCTGGGATTGAATTCAAATCCTTGTGCTTCCAAGGGAAACACACTGCCAAGTGAGCCATTGCTCCAGCCCAGGGCAGTTGTTCTTAGTGTATTGATTATGCCGCTAACTCATTTGCACTTTCTTCAGGCAATGTGGCTGTGCAAACATCTGGACAGCAACCTGGTCACCAAGGAGAACTTAACAGGAAGAGAGGCTTCTCATCTGGCTGAAGCAGCCAGAGCACACTTAGAGTCTTCCAAGGTAAGGCTGGCCCCTGGCCCCAGGGGCAGGGACTGGGTGGCAGGGGCTTGAGGGGTCCACTTCCCACTTGCTTGGCTAGTTTGCATTTTCTTTTGATTTGATTGAAAAGCAAAGTCTCAGGTAAAGTAAGAGGCAGTTGGGTGTGATGGAGGAAGGGACGAATTCAGAACTTAGGCCTGGACCTGGCAGGGAAGGAGATGGAGTGCTGTTCTGTCCTGGACAAGACACAGTGGGCTGGACCTGTTCCTTTTCTTCTCAGGGTCAGCCAAGCTATGGGGGCGGAGGCGGGGTAGAGGCAACGAGGTGGTTTCTGTCCCACAGATGGTGGGCCTGGTGGCCTGGTCCTGGACTTGCAGGGCTGAGTTGAGCTGTAATTTATTTATTTATTTATTACTTTTAAAATATTTTATGTGTATGAGTGTTTTGCCTGCATGTATGTAAGTACACCCGTGTCCTGCAGTGCCTGCGGGGGCCAAAAGAGGGCATCTGATCCCCTGGAACTGGAGTTACGGATGGTTGTTAGCTGCCATGTGGGTGCCTGGGTCCTGTGCATGAGCAACAGTGCTCTTAACTGCTAAGCCATCTCTTCAGCCCCTGGGCTGTAATTTCGAGGATAGAAAATGCCCAGCATTGGACCTGGGGGGGGTGGCGGGGGGAATTCCTACTGCTGCAGGCTGCAGAGTGCCCTGTGGCTCAGTGTATATCCTCAGGGTCATGCACTTCCCATCCAATCTGTCCCTCCTGAATCGTCTGAGGAGGACTGAGAATGCTTTTTCCAAAACTCTACCAACTTTGTATTCAATAAATATGCCTGTGGAGGTCAGAAGAGGGTGTCAGATCCCCTGGACTTACAGATGGTTGTTAGTTGCCATATGGGTGCCGGGAACTGAACCAAGAGCCAATGCTCTTAACCACTAAGCTCTCTCTCCAACCCTGATAAGTCTCTTTTTTTTTTTTTTTTTTTTGAGATACGGTCTTACTATGTAGCCTTGACTGGCCTCAAACTCACAGCCCTCCACGAGTGCTGGGATTAAAGGCATGCACCACCATACCACCATGCCTGCTAACCAAGTACCCTTTAAAAACTTAAAAAAATTTATTTACTTTTATGTGTATGAATGTTTTACCTGCATGAATGTATGTACACCACATGTGTGCAATGCCTGTGGAAGTCAGAAGAGGGCGTCAGAATCCTTAGAACTTGAGTTATGGACAGTTGTCGGCTGCCATGTAGGTCCTGGGACCTGAACTTGGGTCCTCTGCAGTAGCAGCTGGTGCTCTTAACTGCTGAGCCATCTCCTCATCCTCTAACCAAGTATCTTTTAAAAGGAAATGTAGAGGGGCTGGAGAGATGGCTCAGCGGTTAAGAACACTGACTGTTCTTGCAGAAGACCGGGGTTCAAATTCCAGCACCCACATGGCAGCTAACAACTGTTTGTAACTCCAGTTCCAGGGGATCCAACAGCCTCTTCTGTCCTCCACGGGCATTGCACGACATGGTGCACTTATCTACATGCAGGCAATACATGCATACACATAAAAATAAAAAATAATGAAGTCAAAAAAAGAAATATACAGTAGTTTTTTTGTGTGTTTGTATAACTAAACTTCCTTCTAGGAGATGTAAGCAACATCCGTCCCCTCCTCCCTTGGTCCCTATGACTAACCAAAGTTCAATTTTGCCAAACTACAGTCTGGGAAACCAGTGAGTTTATTGGGCTTACCTACAGAACAGTGGGTGAGGGTTTACTTACAGGAGTGTGGGTGCTCTTCTCTAAGGTCATACGCATTGGAAAATCTTCTTCTGAGCATGGATGATGGCCTCCCAACAGCCGCACAAAATGGTGAAAGAGCCTCCCCCTGGCTTCCTCAGTTTATGAACCCTTAGCTCCTCCCTGTCATGTAACCAGGACTGACCGGTTATTTGGGAGGTGTGGCTGACTTGCTCTGCCCCTCCTTTCTTGCTGAGAGTAACAGTCAACAAGCTTAGTCATGATGATTCTAGGGAAGCAGGACCAAGCTTGGGAAGATGGCGTCTGTCCGTGGTCTGTCTGTCAGAGGACAGTCCTATGTAACAGTTTGGTGTGTGAATGTCTATGTGTTTTTTTTTGTTTTTGTTTTTGTTTTTGTCTTTTTGAAGTAGGGTCTCCCTGTAGCCCCAGCTGTCCTGAAACTCACTATGTAGACCAGGCTGGCCTTGAACTCACAGAGATCCACCTGCCTCTGCCTCCCGAGTGCTGGGACTAAAGGTGTGCGCCACCACGCCCGGCGTCTATGTGTTTGTGTGTGTGCACATGTGTGTAGAGGCCAGTGGTTGGTATTGGGTGCCTTCCTCAATTGCTGTTGGTTCATCTTTTGAGATAGGGCCTCCCACCTAGAGCTTTCTAATCAGAATAGGCTGGCAGCCAGTGAGCCCCAGGGATCCACCTGCCCTACTCCTAGGCTAGTGTTTAGGCACATCATTTCTCTTTAGTCAATTAGAAATGTAAAATATTTCTTCAAGATTCCTTTTGGGGTGAAAAGCAGGAATGTGTATTTAGATATCCTTCCCTGAAGTCTGGACTCATCCTGTCTCTCCTGCCGGACCCCTGTATCTGTGGATACTCAGTGTTGGCCACTTCCCAGGTCCCCTCAGCCCCACCATCTCCAGCCTGTAGACAGAGCCACTGTTCATGCCTTCATTTAATGTCCAGGCCACCGTCGGGCCTCCTGGCCCTCCCACTGCTTAAAGTCAGAGCACGGGGTTACACACACATCAGCTGACGAGTTAAAGGCTAGCCAGACCCAGCCAGCTGTTACCTTCACCTATTCTTCAAGCCAAGCTCATGGACTTTAATCACCCACCCACAGTTACCCACTGTGCCAAAGGACACCTTTTTGTCAGTTGGGCAGATTAAAATGACTTGCAGCAGACAAACACAGTGGCCAGAAACTGGACGAAAGTTCGGTGTGGTGGTGAAAATTAAGGGCATGACCCACTGGGATAGGTGGGTCCCTTTCTACTTTCCCAGTGTTCCAGTGTCCCCCTCCCCAGTGTCCACTTCCCCTGTGTCTACTTCCCCAGTGTCCCCTTCCCTAATGTCCTAACCAGCTGCTTATCTTGCATAGCGATTAATCCAGGTCTTTCCTGACCACCAGCCAGGTGAGACCTTGGCCTACACAGCTCACATCTTCACCACAAGCTCCTGTGACTATAGTTCCTCTGAGAACTTGGAAATGAGTTTCCAGGCCTCAAGGTCTGTCAGTGAATGGTGGTGAACAGGACAGCCATTTGGCTTCAAGGAGCAGGAGAGCACCTGGGGTGCCTGCAGCAAAAGGGGACCTGTGGGGCACATACTCCTGGGACCAGATGGGCAAAGTGCCCAGCTTCCTGGTGCCTCAGCCTCTTTAACCTCTACGGGGCCCTTCAGCTCTATGGAGACTCCCATCCCGTCTTCCTGTCTCTCAGTCCCTCATGACAGTCACTCCATCCAGGCTGTGCATCCTCCGTCCAAACGACTCAAACGCAGCCCTCGGGCCAAGATGTTGCAAAGCTGTGTTGTCAGACCAGCTGGTCAGGCATCCCACGCACAGCCGGTTGCTCTGATACGGTGTACAGGGGCCTTCCTGAGGTGCAGGACATGACCAGGAGGGTCCCGGCAGGGGGGAACCATCTCAGAACTTCAGGGATGGCTTGGGTAGATGCCCAGCTCCTATGACGACGACTTGACAAAGAAGGTAGACCTGGCACAGCAGATAAGCCACTGGCTGTCCCCAGTCTTGAGGGAGTTGGGGGTATGGTTGTAGCGTGGGGGATATTAGTTTGGGGCATGGGAGTGTGGTCTGGGGAAATGGCTCCCGTTTACTGCTTCCTGGGCTAAAGAAGCCGTACAAGTTCACAGACGCAGCCGAGGAGGGAGGCGAGGCAGTCTCTCCTCGGCTTCATTATGCTGATTATCGTAAGTGCTTTCAAGGGTGTCTTGTTGGGGTTCGCGGTTCAGAGACACAGGTGATGGGAAGATGAAGGGTTAGCAGCCAGGCCTAATCAAGGAGCAAAGAGTTCTGACGATCTAAAGTGGGGATGTCGAGCCAGGACAGTCTTGGCCTCGTCTGTGTCTAGACCACTGCGGGCCAGGTGAAGCCTCTCATTTAGAACTCTATTCAAGCTGTCTGCACGCAGCCATTGCGCCCTCCTGCATCCGATTTTCTCCTGCTTATGTTTGCTTACCAAGCAGACTTTTACATGGCTGGTGCCCATCAAGGTGTCGCTCTTTAACATCTCCAGGTGGACTGGAAAGGCTTTCCAATCATCCACTGCAGAGTACTGCTGTGGCAGAGCCCTGGGTGAGAGCCTCCAGCCACGGGGAGCTAAGCACTGACCAGAACGGGAGGGCTGCAAGCCTTCCTCAGTGGCGCTGGGCTGACTCACTGGGTCACTCTTTCGTTTAGATTACCGCCCAAGCACCTGCAGGGCCAGAGGCACCGCTTGGGTTGGAAGGAGTGCCCAGGCTGTAGAGTTAGGGCTCACACAACGGCTTCCTAAGGGCAGAGCTGTGAACGCTGTTGGGCAAGAAAGAACCTAGAATCAAGTGTCAGAATACCCGAAGGGGCAGGCCTGGTCCCCAAGACATGGGGATTCCGGTCAACCAGGGATTGCACGGCTTTTTGCTTATTCTGAACAGTTTGTTGTGAAGGGTGACGATACACAAAGCCATGAGAACTCCCACAGGCCTAGGCCTGGCTTAGCTCGTACCAAGTCAGGCCCCACAGCTTTGGAACTGATACCACAGGAAGAATGCACATGGATAAGCACAGAACCGCCTGACCCGGAAGTACCCAGCCTCAGTAGTACATTCAACTCTCACCCAAGGCACATTAGAAACCACCCGTGGCTGTCCCCATTCATTTAGAGCCAACCCCTAGGAGGAGCAGGCCGTGGCATTTAAAAGTGCTGCCTTGGGAACGCCAGTCTCGCTGGGGCTGCAAGCCTTCCTCAGTGGCCCTGGGCTGACTCACTGGAGCAGGCCGTGGCATTTAAAAGTGCTGCCTTGGGAACGCCAGTCTCGCTGACTGAGAACCCAGTGCCACTCTCCTTTATCCCTTCAGTTATCACGTCATGATGCGCTGCTGAGCCTGGGTGTCTTAGGAATCGCTTGTTGTGTTGAAGCAGAGCAGCCTGTGTTTGTGGAGCTTGGAAGACCGGAAGCAAAGAAGCCTCCCTACAGCTGGGTTCTTCTCAACTCAGTTCTCCATTGTTTATAGCCCGTGTTGCCCTCGAACCCACTGTGTAGCCGAGAGCGATCTTCAACTTTTTTAATATGGAACGCTTCATGAATTTGCGTGCCATCCTTGCGCAGGGCCCATGCTAATCTTCTCTGTATCGTTCCAGTTTTAGTGTATGTGCTGCCAAAGCGAGCACAACCTTCAACTTCTGATCCTTCTGCCTGCCTCTTCCAAGGGCTAGGATTACAGGCATGTACCAAGCATTCCAAGTTTTGCTTTTACAAACTTAAAACATGCCGTAGCCTAGTGTCTCCACACACTCCAGCTTCCAGGGTCCCCCTTTTCTTTAAGCCACCTAAAAGAACCGCAGCTTTTCTGCCGCCTGAGTCAGCCTACAAGCAGCACAGCTCCCCCAAGGAGGGCCAGACAGTTCTGGGTGCTGCTGCCCATCAGCGCCTGCTCTAGTTCCATCCCCTCTGCCTGGTGCTCCTGTGTCCTGGAGGCTGAGACGAAATGAGGTGCCAAGCCTCTCTCTTCCTTCTTTCTCTCCCTCTACTGAGCACCAGTTGGGGTCGAGGGCCAGGCCTCTCCTGGCCTGTAGGGAGGGAAGGTACCGACAGTCCAGAGTGACTTGACTTCCATGCAAACCTGACAGCCCCCCGAACCCCAGCGTCCCACACTGGCCTCTCCCTGGGTCCCACTGGCTGCCATGTGGTAGAGTCTACCTCTCTTGTTCCCGCTCTCCTCTTGTCCCCTGTCCCCAACCTCTGCCCCTTTCTTCAGAGTCTAGGGGACAGTAACTGTCATCCCCAGAGCTTTCTATAACTTGCGACAGCAGAGTTTCACATGAGAGTCTGAAACGTTTCATAAGAAAAATTTAAAAGTTACATTATTGCCAGACGTGGTGGCACACGCCTTTAATCCCAGCACTTGGGAGGCAGAGGCAGGCCGATCTCTGTGAGTTCAAGGTCAGCCTGGTCTACATAGTGAGTTCCAGGACAGCTGGGGCTACAGGGAGACCCTGTCTCAAAAAGACAAAAAAAAAAAAAAAAAGTTACATTAGTGTGTGTGTGTGTGGTGTGTGTGGTGTGTGTGGTGTGTGTGCCAACTCATACTTGAGGTGAGAGGACAATTTGCAGGAGTCAGTTCTGTCTTTCTACCACATGAGTCCCAGGGATAGAACTCAGGTCTCAGGGTGCTGGAAAAGGTTCTTTTTTAAAAAATATTTTATTATTTTTATTTTATGTGTATGAGTGTACTGCCTGCATGTATGTGAGTGCACCCATGTTGTGCAATGCCCATGGAGGTCAGAGGAAGACATCAGATCCCCCTGGAACTGGAGTTACAGACGGCTGTGAGCCGCCATGTGGATGCTGGGAATTGAACCCTGGTCCTCTGCAAGAGCAGTCAGTGCTATTAAATGCAGAGTCATCTCTCCAGC